AGTTTTTGCCTGTTGTGTGTTTAACCACTCCTCAAAATGGCCATGCAACCAAAGTGGGGCATCAACGCTCGTGTCACAATAAGAATAAATGATAAGACGACGTGCATACTAACGGACCAGCCAAAATGTCCACACAAATCAAAAAGACAAGGACACACACACACACACACACGCACACACACACACACACACACACACACACACACACACACACACACACCCACACACAGCATGCAGTCCATAAAGTTAATGAACGTTTGTGTGCGTACGTGTTTGCGAGCACACGACCTTGCGGTATGTGACAGGTGAGTGAAGGCGCATGCCGGCGTTTCGTAAAAACGTGCCGTCACACTCAAGCTCAACTCAGGAGCAATTACGTTGTCTTAGTGAACCATTCGAGCAGGAAAATGCCAGAAAAGGAGACTCGGTGATGATGTAATCACCGGGGAATTACGGGAAAAATACACAACTGTGAAGGAGAGGAGCATCAACCAGTTTACGACGGAAACGTTTGAGTGAGCATTCATTGTGAGAAGGGACAAAAGTATTGGGACACCCACGGGAAGTTAAAAGTGAAAAAATGTGGACAAATGTATTGGGACATGTACAGGAAGTGAAATGTAATTTTAGAAAATCGCTGAGGACAAAGGTCTTGGAAGAATCACAAGAAGTGAAAAGTGAAGAAAATGTAGAATGAATAAAAGTATTGGGACACTTGGGACAGTGAAAGTGGAAAAAAAAAAAACAATGAATATGTCCAAAAGTATTGGGACCTGTCGAAGAAATGCAAAGTGAATATATACACTCATTTTAAAATTTGGACAAAATTATTGGGCCATCCACAGGAAGTTGCAAGTGCAACAAAAAGTGGCGTTTGAACAAAAGTATTGGGACACCGCCAAATCAGGTGTGGGTAGGGCTGTCCCAATACATCTGTATACGTGGCTGCCTGTGTCACCATAGTGCCGCTGCTGCTGCGGCTGCTGCTGCTGCGGCTGCTGATGATGATGTAACCCCTATGACACATGAGAGGCATGCACGCTGACTCCACACAAGCGCCGGGCAGGAGAAAATGTCACAGCAACACCACAGTCACATCCACTCACATCCACACAAACAAACATATAAACAAACAAACATACAAACACACACACACACACAAGCACGGTCATGTCCAGGTAAAAAAAAAAAAAAAAAAAAAAGCTCCCTGTTGCCACCTCACGCTGCTGTTGCTGCTGCGATCATGAGCGCCTCGTCGTCCTGGAAAGCGATCTGAGCGAGCCACGCTGCTCCTCATTAAAAATTCATCCTCTCGTCCAGCACCACTACGCTGGCATGGCATGCCCACACACACACACACACACACATACACAGGGAGAGAGTTAACAGGCACACTGGGCTAGATTTTACATCATCTTCCTCGCAACAGCTTCCCCTCATGTACGAATTCCCGGATCGGCCCAGATTCCGTCTCATGCCGAAGCGCCGGTCTTTCCCAGAATGACACAACTTCCCGTTCAAATGCTGTTTATGAAACAATGTCACTGTGACAGCAAATAAAGTGACACAATTCTGCTGGCTTATTGGAAGCTCGTGATGCAAAATGTCATGTAGAAACGAACGAAAGTAACATTGCTGTCGCGGTAATTAGGAACCTTTTAAACAACCGGCATCAAAACACGCAGACGTAACATGCAAAAATACTCCCGTATATTCTTTATCCTCGGCAAACAACGCGATATTACAGCAGCAGTTGTGACCATCTTTGTGTATGAAGTGGCATTATGATGCAAAAACTGTTTTTTACATTGTTGGTTTTTAAGAAGTGTTTTGTTGCATGATATGATAATACTTATTTTTCTTTTTAAAAAAACAAATTTCCCATTTTTGGGGGGTGGGGGGTATTGGAATAGATTAATAGCATGGTGAAAGATGATTTATGACACATGGCTTTTGAGTTGCAAACATGGTCACAGAACAAATTCAACTTGTATGTCAAAGCACCCCCTCCCCACACACATACACACACACAAATTGGTGTTAAAAATTGCAGGTTATTTAATTTCTTAAAAATGCATGTGTTTTGCCATGTTGAATGGTTGCACACTTGCCTTTGTGTGTTGAAAGTGCAGAGAAGACTTTTATGAGCAAACGGTGCGGTGTTTATAAAAGGCTTCTTCAGACTTTTTTGTGGGTCTACTCATGTTTAACACAAGAAATTTTGTGTTGCTCAGAGATTTGGGTATCAGAGGCTCCATTTTTCCCAAAACTTACATTTGCGCCTCTGCTCACCACTCTCAGTACAGAGCAGGGGGAAGAAGCGCTCCACCCCGGCACAGGCACAGCGCAAGCCATCGCAGTGCTGGAGGAGGGTAGTGGTGGGGCGCAATTGGCAGGTGGAGGTGTAACAGATGGAGGAGAGAGCGAGGTCGACTCATTCACTAACTCTGAGGATGAAGGTGATACGCTCCAGCTGGCTCAGGAGCTCTTTGTGCTGAAATGCTATTGGCTTGTCAAACAGCTGAGCTTATCTTAACTCAGCATCAATATGAACCAACTCACAAAACCATATCACAGCGAGTTGTTGGTACTTGTAGTTTCAGGTACTTCAAAATCAGATGTTTCTACCTCACCCCAAGGGTATATGCCCCACTCTAAAAAAATGCTACTATGCTAGGTGCTAGTTGACAGGCTAGTCGTTATGTTAATTGCTACACAAGTCACGATTTGCTCGTCTCTTTGCTACATCAGTGGTCACGTGCATATGCTAGTCAATAGTTGGTATTGTAGTGGCTAGTAATTGTGCTTGTTACTGGACTACTCACTTGTTGTGCTAGTCACAGCACTAGTGGATCGATGCTTTACCTGTTGATGAACTAGTCACAATGCTAATCCCTCATCACTATGCGAATAGTTACGCAAGTGGCCAGTTGTTATGCTAGCTGCCAGAGATTGGCACTTTACCCTATTTTACCCTCCGTCCGCAACCTGGGTACACTTCTGTCATCGTCCCTCCCTCCTTATTCATATAATAACTAAGCGCTTCTATCCCAAAATACTGTTGGGATGAAAAAGGAAAGAGAGGAGTTCTGTAATGGCAATTCAGTGTTGTGCTGTTGTTAGCCTGTTAAGAAAACAACAGTGTTTGGCCTTGTTATTTTGCCTCCAGACACCACATACTTAACCCGGTTAGGGATGATTAAAAGGACTAATAAAACCCACTTCCGTCCTTGCTTAGTCCATCCTTTTTTAAAAAAAAAACGTCTCGTCCTCAATCCCCAAAATGGTCGTCCGTCCGAGACGGACGGGCTGTCCTGTCCCAAGGACAGAATGCCCATCTCTGCGAGCTGCTATGCTAGTCATAAGTTGTTACTCTATTCACTATGCTTGTAAAGCTACTACAGTCACTACTCTATAGACACTATTCGTTACACTTGTGCCTACACCAGTGGCTATGCTATTCACTATCTACGAAACTGGTTGCTATGCTGGTGGGTACTTACTATGCTAGTCACTTCTGTAGTCACTAGTCATTATGCTAGATTCTATGCTAGTGGCTAGTCATTGCACTAGTCACTATGCCAATGGCTAGTTGCTATACTGGTTGCTACTTAAGTTGTTGGTTGTTAGTTGCTACACTAGTATTTTGTCATTCTGCTAATCATTCTGCTAGTCACTACACTAGTGGCTAATTACTAGTTGCTACGATAGTCAAAAGTGGATAGGATAGTCGATAGTGGCTAGTTACAATGCTAATTGCAACACTAGTCATTAGGGTAGTTGCTACACTGGTGGCTAGTCATTATGCTCATCACAATGCTAGTCACTGATATCCTCACTTCACTAGTGTCTAGTCTTCTCACTAGTTGCTATTCTGGTTGATACACTCCTAGTTTGTCACTATGGTAGTTGTTATGTTTGTCCCAAGTGACTATGCTAGATGGTATGCTAGTCACTACGGTAGATGCTACACTAGTGGCTAGTCAATGTTGGTCTGCGGCCCGCGGCATTTTGGTGTGCGCTCATACAAGCAGAATTGTGTCCCTATTGATTTGTTCTCTGCACACGACAACAACTGGTGGGAATCAAAAATGCAGCCTCAGGTCACAGGACTACACCACTCACATTTCTCAGAAAGAGTCAGTCAAGAACAGGATTAATTTTGACTGCAGTCCAACACAAAGAGGCTCATCTTTTCGCTCCCGAATTAAATATCAACAACAGCCCCTTCGGTCCAAAACACAATGTTCCTGCGGAGCCGGGTTCCTGCGGTCAAAAGGTGCGATATAGCCTGATTTCCCACCTCCAGGTTCTCTAAACCTCTAAAAATGTTTGAGGTCCATTAACAAGACGACTCTAAACTAGAGTGGGCTGATTGCATTTTGATCATTTTTAAGTGATGTGCAAATAAAATGAAAGAGGGGAAAAGACATTTTTAGATGAATACTGGTCTGAATTGAGGTTAAGTTCCAATTTTGACATCTATTGATGGCATTCCGCAACTTTTCCTGATTCAACCGTGTAATATTAGGCCAACTCCCAATTGCCTGCCCATTAACTTAGTTACAAAATTCCGCAAATTCACTTATTTGTGGATTTTTTGGGGGAAAACCTGTCCACCATTATTCACAGATAATTTGGACATAGACCACCTCTGCTCTAAACGTTTTTTTTTCTTCAAGGCAACCGAGATGCAAGTAGCAAATTGAAGATGATGACAGTACCCGAAAGCATTATGATCCAAGTCCAAAATGCCAACAAGGGAGGAAAACCACCATAATTATTGTGTGCCAAACTTTTAATCGCTTCTGCAAAATGGAGTTAGCCCACTTATTTTCTCAGCCGTTCTTTGGGCGCTCGTAAATTACCTCAAAAGTCAACTTCACACCTAAAGTTCTGGGAAGTTCTGTAGGTTCTTTCAATATTAGTCCCCTCCAAAAGTTCCTCGTCACGATATTCGGTTCCTTCTCAGGGTCACCCGAGCCGTGCCGGGGTCTTACCTTCTAGGCAGCATGTCCTCCAGAGCCCCGAGTGCGTCATGACCTCCTCGTTCTTCTTGCTGGTCTCGTTGTCGTTGCCGCTTTTGCTCCTGCAGACCCCTCGCGAATAGAGCCAGTAGTCTGTGCCCACCGCGATGGTCATGAGGCTGAAGGCCGCGAAGGCGCCCACCGTGGTCAGCAGCATCTGCACTCCGCGGTCGAAGAGGCCCATGTTTCCGCATTCCATGAAAGGGGGACCCCCTTTCCGCTTGATGTACAGGAAGTAAATATTTGACGGCGTGCGGGACCTCAGCCAGGCAGAAAACGAGGAGGACGGGGATGAGGGACGAGGACGAGGAGGACGCCAAGAGCCTTATGGTTGCGTTTGGATGAGGACCAGCCAGCGGAGAAAAAAAAGACCCCCACAACGAGCAGAACGGGAAAAAGCTGGAAATCCTCTCTCTCCTCTTATTCGGCCTCTCTGGAAATCAAAAGAGAAGCAGTGCAGGCTGAGCTTGTGCAGCCAACCTGTTTGTCCGCTTACACGCACGTCAAAGCCCGCCAGTAAATCACCATTGAAATGCTGCGCCTTGCAAGCCCTCGCAACGGACAAAAAAAGCCAAATCGAAGCAAAAATGCATACATGGCATTACGGGGAAAAATAACATTTGATTCGTTTCTGTTTTTTGGCTAAAATTCCAAGTCCTCTCAGGCACGAATTAAAAGAAAAATGAAGCTAAATCGAATCAAAACTGCATTAATTGCATAGGATTAAACAAGTGCAAAAAAAATAACCGTGAAGGAAAAAAAATCTAATTTCAATCACACGAATTGCCTTTTTCCTAAAATTCTGGTCCTCCGTTTCCATATGGAGCCCTAGAGCCGGGTCAAGGCTTCTTTCCGCCGGGAGTGAGGGTCTGCGCTCACCACGCGGGGATCCAGAGGCAGCGCGGGGGGCGTCGGTCCAGACAAGCCGACCATCACTCGAGATGCGGCGGGCGGGAAGAGGGCGACGAGTCGGCCATAAGAGCGCTGCTTCTCCTTGATCCTGTTCGGGCCGGATGATCCAAAAGGCCACCTAGGACGCGGCGCTTGGCGTCAAAAGCCTCCCGCTGTGTGCTGGGGATGTGCATGCATGCCCCTCTTCTTCCTCCCCCTCCTCTTCTTCTTGCTTGAAAGATGTCACGATGGAGAACACATGGAGGCTCGTCGGTGTACAGCCTGAGCTCCTCCGCTGCTTTAAAGAGGCCCACGGTGGTCGTGCGTGCGTGTGCGCGCGCTGCAGCAGCAACGGTTACACCAACATTTTTAATTGGCTTTGCGCGAATGGAGGGGGAGTCGGTTTTTTTCTCTATCGCTCCCCTTCCCCCCCCCCCCCTCTCACGGTCGAGACTGTGCATAATAATCAGACTACTACTTACGATTTGGTTGCAGGTTCGAGGAGACTTCCGTGTTGCTGTTTTTGACTAACCAATGGAAAGCGACCTGGGAAAAGGGAGAGCAAACAAATTTGGTCGCGTTGGATGTGTATGTGTAAAAAAAAAAGTGTTAACTACTAAGAGGGGAAGAAATAATTATTCATCTGGTGCTGAAGGGATAGCGATGTCTTTAGCGAGACTTTGGCGACGCTTAGTGGGAAAATGTGCTCATTACAAGCACAAGAAGTATATAATTTTTAAATTCTTTCATTTGTCTGGCTTTATATATTGGGCATGTTTTTGGTCATAGTGCTTGTTTTGTTTAATTGTTTTTGTGTAGGCACTTAATCTTTATTTAACCAATTAAGATTGATAATTTGAAAGAAGTATGATTCAATCCTTCTAAACAAGTCGTGAGAATGTAGTCCGTTGCATGCGTGTACAGGTGACCCCATAACTAACTACCTTGCGGTTTGTATTTCTGAGTGAAAATGACAGTGGAGGACCTAGTTTTAATTATATTTTCAAGGAGATTGCGGCTTTACTTGCCATTCGTCACCATTTTGTTGCGTATGGGAGACATTTAAAAAGTCTTAAGTTTTGTAGTCGAGCTAAATGAGTAAGCAACCGCTCGAGAGATCAAGACGTTTCTCATACTTTTTCATTCGGACGAGAACGTTTCTCGTCCAATTTTGAAACATACGTCGTTTTTGTCGCACTTTAAACCTATTTTCATGATCGTAACAAAGTTTTTGTTAATTGAGAAAACATCCAAAAAATAAATTATATGTTAAAATAAATAACTACAATGAGTGTACAAGATGTTGTCATGAGCTTTTCCTTCTCGTGCTGACGGTTTCCTTCCCTTCTCCCCGCGTCCCACTTTGCGATGTTTGCGTTGGCGTCAGCTGGGATTTGCTAGTTTGTTTCTTTGCTGACGATGACGAGGTTGAAAAGTGATCGTCATGGTCGCGTTGCTGCCGAGCCTTCGGGCCACGGGTGTGCTGCTGACTGACTGATGGTTTGCTCGGAAGCAGCATCCAGAGTTCTTGCACGCCGCCTGTTACGTGAACACGTCGCAAGACAAAAAAAAAACGTTGTGTCAACGCTCGTGTTGTGCTGTGCTGTCATGCTATGAAAAGTGCTTCCGCCGTGGGGGGGGGGGGTGCTTATAATCATAAAGTGACGTAAAGATAACACGTAAACACACACACCTTTGATTAGCAGCAGATGTTAATGTTGCTTCCATGGAAACGAGCCACCAAGTTGGTCGGTATTCAGTTTCTTGAGGTCAACAGCACAATAATTATGTACCATACTAATAAAAATGAACACTAAGGATGAATATAAAACAAGGGAGATCAACGGAATGACAACGAACATAAAAAAATGGGTAACAAAAATACAAAGAATGCCATAAGATAATGAACAAAATAGGACAAACACTACAAAAACAAATATATAAAAAAGGAAGAACAAGAACAAAAAGATGATAAAAATGAACAAACATCAACAAATAAGAAAATCAACAAACAGATGAACGAAGTGCATCAGCAGAAAGAACATATGCTCGTCCACAATCTTAACCTCCTGGGACCTGGCGTCCACACCAAACGTTTTTGGTTGTCAAGACTACAATGTTAAATTTTGGACTACAAGGGCCTGGCGTCCACTTACGAGGACGTTATACATCATGTAAAAAGATAATTCTTTGTTTTTACACTCATCAGGTCCCAATTAGCCGAAATATCAAAGAGAAAATAAAAATGCATGCCTTGCAAGAGTTCGTGTCTTAGGAGGTTAAAAAAATCTTAAATGCAAGTAAAGGCGGCGTGAGGAGGGAGAAGAAACAGTTGGAAGTGGGCGTGGCTCCAACTGGCAGCAAGGATCATCAAACAGGAGCTGCAGGTTTTGCTCAGTCAGTGTTAGCAGAGGATCCAGAGTGAATCCCCCAAAACGTTTGCACACTCTGGATCCACTTCATGACAGGAACATGCACGAAGCCAGGTAAAGTCTCTTGAAGCCACCAAGTTGGTCGGTATTCAGTTTCTTGAGGTCAACAGCACAATAATTATGTACCATACTAATAAAAATGAACACTAAGGATGAATATAAAACAAGGGAGATCAACGGAATGACAACGAACATAAAAAAATGGGTAACAAAAATACAAAGAATGCCATAAGATAATGAACAAAATAGGACAAACACTACAAAAACAAATATATAAAAAAGGAAGAACAAGAACAAAAAGATGATAAAAATGAACAAACATCAACAAATAAGAAAATCAACAAACAGATGAACGAAGTGCATCAGCAGAAAGAACATATGCTCGTCCACAATCTTAACCTCCTGGGACCTGGCGTCCACACCAAACGTTTTTGGTTGTCAAGACTACAATGTTAAATTTTGGACTACAAGGGCCTGGCGTCCACTTACGAGGACGTTATACATCATGTAAAAAGATAATTCTTTGTTTTTACACTCATCAGGTCCCAATTAGCCGAAATATCAAAGAGAAAATAAAAATGCATGCCTTGCAAGAGTTCGTGTCTTAGGAGGTTAAAAAAATCTTAAATGCAAGTAAAGGCGGCGTGAGGAGGGAGAAGAAACAGTTGGAAGTGGGCGTGGCTCCAACTGGCAGCAAGGATCATCAAACAGGAGCTGCAGGTTTTGCTCAGTCAGTGTTAGCAGAGGATCCAGAGTGAATCCCCCAAAACGTTTGCACACTCTGGATCCACTTCATGACAGGAACATGCACGAAGCCAGGTAAAGTCTCTTGAACCCGTTCCAAAGACTTTTAAAACAGCAGAAGTTTGTGTTTCTCATTTATCTTGTGACATTTGACACTTTTGCACCTTTACCTAATAATAATAATAAGAATAATAATAATGATGATGATTAGTTCAGCCAGGATAAGAAAACATGATGATCGTTTCCTTGTGATACTCCCTCGAAAGTAAGGAATATGAATGGTTTCTCCTGTTCACTTCCTCCTGCTATTTATGATGTTGGTCAGAGATGCCCAGGAGGGAGCCTTGGCCCACTTCATTCAAAAAGCATGCCTCTGAAGTAAGGATATGAAAGCATCCAGTACATATCCCTGCGGTACTCCCCTGAAAGACTTGAGTCATGACACATTTTGTCTACTTTGTCCCAGAGAGGGAAACGGTTTATCTTTTTGTCCGGATTATTATCTTTGGAGGCAATGACAGCAAATGGTGGAGGATCCACTACATTTCCCTGTGGTACTCCCCTGGAGAGCAGAACAGTGAGCTTTCTTCTGTCCATTTTCATCCCACTGGGGACAATGTGATTTTTATTCTCCTGAAGGGAGCATACTTCACCATGGGTAGTACCGTAACAGCAAACCCAAGAGGATTCATCGCACTGTTTATTTTGTCTACTTACAGTTAATTTAGGTTTAAGGTTTCTTTTTTTCCAAACAATGGTCTTTTTTTCGGTGAAGAGGAAACACTCTCACCTGGCTGACAGTTTCGGCTGTTGCTTCAGCCTTCATCGGAGCTGTCAATGATTCCTGGTGACGTGTCTTAAAAACAGCTGACCGGGTCGGGAAAGACTTTTTCTCTTCACACCCCCCTGGAAAAAAGAAACCTTAAACCTAAATTAACCAAGAGGTCACTGTCCTTTGTACTCCCCGGGAAGTTGTGATGTTTGTCATTCAAGGGAGAAGATAAAGCATCTTGGGTAGTTACAACAGCAAACCTGAGGATCCAGGACATTTCCCTGTGGTATTCTTCTGCAAGAAATGAATAGTATCAATAATTTTCCTCCAGCCACAGAAGAAGCGACATTTATATTTTGTCTAAATGTGTCTTAGAAGAAGCCATACTCATCCTTAAGGTAGCATGCTTCATCGTTGAAGGTCATGCTAGCAAACGTGAGGATCAAGGACAGATCCCTGTGGTACTCCCCTGAAGAATGGAATGGTATTGTTAAAGTTTTACATTTTAAAAGTTGTGATTTTTGTCCAGGAATGCTCTGAAGGAGGCCTTAACCTGCTACGCCTCGGCCACCCTGTGTGACATGTCGACGGTGAGTCACTTCTGCAAAGGTATGTCCGAGTGGCGGCTGCAACGCGACAACGAAATCAACACCATCAAAGACATCATCATCCGAGCAGAACTGAAGCTGGGCAGGAACATCCTGATGTACGTGAAGAACAAGATGGCTGCGGAGAACAGGCAAACTGCGCTAGAGGCGGGACTAGCAGCAGTACTAAAGGACATCTTGCTCGGCTTAGAAGAACTGGAAGTCTTCGTGATGGCGCTGGAGAGGCTAGCCACCACTTCATTGCTCGTTTTCCGGGACGAGGTGGTGAAACTTCCACAGGGGCTTGGCTGCTGGGATGTGGCAGTCGCCGTGGCCTCGGCACGTCGGGCTTGCCCCCTTGCCGCTGAGTTGAAGCAAGACGCCAAAGTCGTCTTCTTGCCCAGGCTGGACAACGCAGCCGTGCTGGCACACCTTCTCGACAAACATGTGCAGACCGCACAGCAAATGTGCCTCCTGATGGACAAAAGGTAAACCACACACACAAGCAAAAAAATTGCCTCCACAGTCCCTGGATTTCGTGTTAATCTTCATCATTCTGGTTCCAGCTTTCCGCCATCCCCTTAAACATGCAAAATGTCATCATGTTTGTTCCACCTTTAGCTCCGTTCATACAATATCAGAATTTGGGAAGTTGCAATTAGACAATGCAATGCCCCACTTTGATGTGAAGGCATCCTCTTCTTATAGCAAGGTCAACGTGGTCCCCAAAACTGGGTTGGACGTGCGAGTAGAGCTCCCTATGGATTTATCTTCAGAGGACACACAGAGGATGTTTGGCCACATTCAAAAGTGTGACCAGATCAGGTGACCCCGGATTCAAACCCAGAATCTTTGACTCTGAAACAGATCAAAATCATCATGAACTTTTGGATATCCTTGTCTTTTCTCCAGGAATGATGCAGACTTCCGGCTGGTGTTCCTGCTACAGGAGGACGTGTGTCACCGCTTCCTGGCTGTGTTCAGCCAGCGTCGGCCCAGGATGCTCGAGCTCCTGGACCAGTTGGACCAGAACATCGAGGAGCTAGTCTGGAAGAACAAAGCGGTGAAGATTTCCAGTGTGGCGAGTAGCTCAGTGGGTGTGGTGAGCGGTGCGCTGTCAATTGCTGGGCTGGCGCTCATACCCCTCACAGCTGGAACCTCGCTGTCTCTTAGTATGACCGGACTGGGTCTCGGTCTCGCCAGCTGGGCTAATTGTGCCATCACCTCCATCGTGGACTACAAACTGGAGCAGAAGTCAATGAAGAAGATCAGTGAGGTGACTGAGAACTTCATCGAGGACGCACAGTGTCTGGACGATATCGCCAGCGAGACTCGGCAACTGGACGCCGCTGTCAGTGAAGTTCTCTGCGAGTTGCCGGAGGTTAGCAAAGTCGGATCGGCCGCAGACGCCAACTCTACCGTGAAGACTACGAAACGCAGCAAGGAGGTGGCCACCAGGGTGGGCAAGGTGGTGGCAGTAGGTGGGAAAGCGCTTCGGAACGTCCACAGGGCCGTGGCCGACGTCCGCAACATGGGCAACACGGCCCTCAAGGGATCTGTGGCTGTGTCCCGCACGGCCAGAGCCGGACTCATTCCGTTGAATGGAATTTTTATCGGCATTGATATAATCATCATCTGCACGAACAGTGTCGCTCTGTCCAAAGGGTGTGAAACCAAAGTGTCACGCTTCCTCAGAGCCAGGAGTGCTCTGTGGCGGGCAGAGATGGAATGTTGGCAGAGGATGCATGACTCGTTGACGCGGGGACTGGCAACCTTTGAGGGAAACTGGGCCGTCCTCGAGGTGCCGTTTTACCGTGACGACAAACAGAACGAAAAGCAACGTTGCATCACTCAGTAGCACCTAGAAAACGCGATCAATTTCCCATAGCTGAGCTAAACACACCTAGATGAGGTGTTTAGCAGACTATTGAAGCTAATGTAGTATGGATACATTCTGTAAGTGCTACACAGTTCGTCTACGAATAAACTGTTCAACCTGGTAGAAGTCTGAGGGATTTTTAAAAATGTCATTTCTGACAGAATTAGCGTGGGAAGTCAACATTGAAATAGAAAGGGGACGGTGTTCCTTCACAAACCGGGCTGTCATCGAGACGCCGTTTTAGAATGACGACAAAAAAGCAATGCTTCAGTAGTACCCAGAAAGCGTTCAAGCCAACCACATTGGGTTGAATGAAATCAGACATAACTTGTCAAAGCCAAGCTAAGACACCTGAACGTGCTGCATAGCCTATTAGCATAGAAAATCGGATATGCATGTGCTCCACAGTGCCTCCACCAAGAAGTTGGGTAAACCAAGAAGACCGAAGTCAGTCTTTGTCTCAAATCACATGGCATGAATGTCTCCGCAAACCCAAACACACAGTCACGAAGACTGATTTTAAGCCCTTGTATGGCTTTAAAAAAAAAGTTCATGATGACTACAGACTACTGGAACCGATTATTACTATTATTTTCAAGGGGGAAAGCTGATACTGTACTAACAAATCAATTGTTTCTTGTGAGAGGCTAAAAATGAGCAAAGCTAACTTTTTCAGCAACCAGTTCAGGGTGTCCCCCGCCAACTGCCCAACGACGGCTGAGATAGGCTCCAGCACCCCCGCGACCCTTGTGAGGATAAAGCAAATCGGAAAATGGATGAAGAATCATAATAATCCTGAAACATTTCACTTTGTGTCGTGACACAATATAAAACTTTTTTTTCCCAGTTGAATGACAGGAAAAATATATATTTTTTAAATGGTATTCTCAATGATTGAGATGCACCCATAGTATTTGACCCTTCTAAAATAAGATTTCTAACTCGCTCCCAAGAGCTTGCGACGCATGTCGCAGTTCACCTCGGGCACAAGGAGAGTTTACTGTCAGGACACTTTGTTTGAATGTTCAAATATTGAAAAATAATGTTGACTTTTTCCCCTTACGAGAGATGCTGTAACCGCACAGTTGACTCTCTCGTTAAGCTAGTAAACCTGCAAACTCTTGATGACATTTGAAAAAAACATTAGAAAAGTTTAGGCCAATTGGATTTTATTGATTGGGAAATTAAATGCGTGTGTGTGTGTGTGTGTGTGTGGGTGGGGCAGGTTGTTTTGGTCACCAGGCGCCATCCTTCAGTTCTCTTCGTCTGGAATTATAAGAAAGTATTTTCCCGTCAGTCTGCATGGCATCAGGTCATCTCGTTAACTGAGTGACGTCACCGTCTCACCTTCTTCCTCCTCGTCCTCTTCATCCTCCTCTTCATCCTCCTCTTCGTCGGAGCTGAAGGTTCCGTCGGGCAGGCTGTAGACGCGGATGACTTGCTGCGGGGGCAAATTAAGGGCCCATCAGAAGGTTCGCACCCTTGAATTCTTTCTTGCGCGTTATCCTCGACCATTATTGTAAAATGTACTTTTGATTTTTTGGGCTATCATTCTGGTAGTACGACAGCTTGTGGCATTTGGTATAATGTTCAGCAGCTATGTTGTGGTCCTTTGCTACAATGCAGATTTTTTTTTTTTTGCACCCAGTTAATGCATCTGTTTTTATGCAGATGCATTAACTTTTTATGCAGATGTATGCAGGGAAGGCCAAATTTCAAGTTGTGCACCTTCGGTGTAGTACCACATTTTGCCACAACATGCCAGGCAGCACCGAGGTGTAATTAAGAGGGAGAAGAGGCAAAGAAGTAGCAAATATACTGCATGTCTGAGTATTCTTGTATGCTCTGTTTGGATATGTTGCTGCTCTGTGTGTGTTAATCAAAAACTTTATCATTACCATTGACACATATGCTAATTTCACGTTAGCCTGTCTATGGTATTTTGCATATGTTAGCATTCAGCCAGCATACTTATGTTCGACGAAATGATATGAAATGTTTGAACATTTGGTGTTTAGAGAGAGAGAGAGAGAGAGAGCAAGCTTTTTTTTGTTATGTGTCAATTGGACATTCGTCTTCAAGTGGGAGTGACAGCCTGAAGCAGACACGGCTAGAGGCTTGGGGTGGCGACGGGAGGGTTGGGTGCCGCTTACCTTGTTGGGGTCCTTGAGGATGAGGTACTTGCCCTCGTCCAATTTGCGGCAGATGTCGATGACGCAGCGTAGGATGCCCCAGGCATTCTCCATGCTCAGGTTGATCTGGCTGGCAAACTCGTTGGGCTTGAACTGCTGGGTGCCGAGAACCACGTGGCGGGCGGAATCCTTCACATGGTAGCGGGACACGTAGCTGCACGGAGACATTTTGACAAGTGTTACAAACAGCTAAATGCTTAAAAATCCTCATGACAGTGTTACCTCTGCATTGCTTGGGATAGGCTTTTTTTTTTTTTTTTTTTTTAAATAAACACTGCCATTATTGTAAACCCAGCATACTTGTTCGGAACTCACCCCAGTTTGAGGTACTCCGAGCCGGCCAGCATGGCGCAGCAGGTCCAACGGGCCAACTTGTAGCTGTTGTTCTTCAGCTCGGTGGCCAGAACCGCACCTCGCTGAGAATCCAGCTTCTGGCGCCAGTCTACACCGTTACAATGCTGCCAGGAGAAGACACGACCGTCACAATCAGACTGTCAAAAAAATGCAACTGTACATTTTGTCGTCTTACCCTGGAGTCCCACTCGTTGAGGGTTTTGATGTTAATGAAGGACACTTCCCCGTTGGCGCCCGTCATCACGCCGTCATGCTCGCAGCGGACAATCAGGTCAATGTCTTCGCCCAGCTTCCAGTGGCGGTACCTGGCGGCGGAGATGAAGTGGTAGAAATGACCATGATTAGCTGTATTCTTTCAGTCTATTAATTGCTCTGTTGTAGAATAGGTTATTTAATGTTAAATGCTTTGTTACAGCTGCAGTTGTCGTGAAAACGCTACATAAAGAGGTACTACATTAAAAAAAAGATATCTAAACTGACAAAAACCACAGATACAAATCCGCAATAAAATGTACTTTTGGGCATGAAATGAAAAACTGGATAATCAATCAATGTCAACAGCATCACAAGATATCCGCATTCTCCGCTTTTGTGGCAATCCGCTGCCTCCTTGACAATAATGCAATGTTTTTGTGGTTCCAAAGGGCGTTGGGGTGGAAAACAGTATATATGTGTAGCCTCAAAAGAACACAGGGTCTCAGTTTTCCCATTTTAGTGCACTTGTCGGCTCAATCACTTGAGTGGCGAAAAGTCGCCAACTCAAATTTTTCCGCAATGGTCCAGTTTACTTGTGTTCAGACATGTCACTTGATGTTTGACTGGCTTAAGCATCGATAATGATATATTTAAAAGTAGTGGGACTACATAAAAACAAACCAACTAGGAATTGTTATTCATTACTATCCTTTTAATGAATTAAGGTTTGCTTCCGGCTTTGGCCTTCCTGTGTGGAGTTTGCATGTTCTCCCCGTGCCTGGGTGGGTTTTCTCCGTGTACTCCGGTTTCCTCCCACATTTCATAAACAAGCTTGGCAGGTTAATGGAGCACTGTAAATTGTCCCTAGGTGTGAATGTGAGCTCGGATGGTTGTTCGTCTATGTGTGCCATGCAATTGGCTGGCAACCAGTTCAGGGTGTCCCCCGCCTACTGTTCGAAAACGGCTGGGACCTATCCCAGCGCGCCCCGCGACCCTTGTGAGGATAACCGGATTAGAAAATGAAAGGATGTCTGGACAAAGGGGCATCAGAGACCCCCAAGAAGCGGTTTGATCACAAGAGCTTTCCAAAGACATCAAATGTTTTGAGCTCACCTGTAGGCAACAGATGCCACCTCGCTCTTGTCCATGTCCTCCTCCACAAAGGGGTTGCTGGCGGAGAACTTGTAGCGCTCGCCGCCCTGAAGTCAATGCACATACGTTTGGAAAATATTGTCTCGGCAGACGCAATTTGTGCCCATGAAGGCGTCGCGCTTGCGCTCTCACCATGCGCAAGCACTGCTGGCTGAAGTTGTGGTTGATGTAGGTGGCCTCCATGGCCAGGTTCCGCGGGGAGTTGAAGGAGTTGCCCTCGTCCTGCGGCGGCTCGTTGGCCGTCTCACTCACAGTCAGCAGATCTTGGGAGGCGGCGCGCACGTGTCAAGTGAGGCCGCGTGCAAACGAAGGCAACGGCGGCAATAAGACACTCACCAAAGTCAGAGTTGTCGCGCTTGTCGAAGAAGAGCTTGTTGCCCACCCGCTGCACGATGATGTCCCAGGAGTTGACTGAACGCGTGCAGCACATCAGGGTGGCCAAGATGGCGTCGGTGGCGAACACATTGCCTTGGGTCTTGGCCAGCTACACAGACAGACATGTCTGAAATATCTATCCGAAAATGTTTCAAGTATGGGCGGACACCCTGAGGCCAAGGATAGAAATGTGTGGCAGGACGTGTGACAGCCAACCTTGCGGATGACGGGGTCGTCGGTGGTGGTGACGGTGTGGAAGATTCGCTTGATGCTCTTCAGCTGCTTCTCGTTGCGAGTGGTGATGCGGTCGAAGGCTTTGTCGTAGTACTCCAAGGCGCCACAGCACTCGCTGTGAAGGATGTGAGCGGCGTTCAGCGGGGAGACGGATGCAAGACGCAGGGCGGGCAGTGATGCGCTTACATGTCTACGGGGTCCGCCACCTCCATGTATCGCATCTTCATGAGTCTCGGGAAGTCCATCTCCTCCTTCACCTCCCAGTCGCTGCGGACCTCCACTGAAGAATCTCGAGGCTTCAGCTGAGCCTTGGCAGGGATTTAAAAACAAAACGAAAAAAAAAAAAATCCCCACGTTGGATCTTACATCATGGATCGAGTCTAAATCTAAAAATGTTGATACAGCCCTGCTAGATGAGATTAAAAGAATATTTCAGGTCATTTGTCTCAACAGTTTTTGTGTTTTTCATTTACTTATTTTCGGTTTGCTGGACACACATTAGATTTATTTATTTAAACTTCCTTAAGTGTTACAAACTGATGACATTTGTGTTAATCAACTCAGTGATATCCCCAAAAACTGTTCTGAAATTTGTTTAAAAAAATATTTTAATTTCATTAAAAAAAAAAAAAAAAAAAGAACGTTGTCCATTCACCAAATGAATTGAAAAACAATCTAGAATGAGTGTCATCCAAAATATTGAATTTAATGTATTAAAATAAACGTGAAAAGTACCATCGGTATAAAAACTTAAAATGTTATCAAATACTTAAAAATCTAAAGTATTTCTTTTAAAACAGTTATAAATCAAAAATGTTTAATTTATTAACAAGTATTTCCTGAATAAATGTAGTTAAAAAGCAAAAGTAATCAATATTTACTAAGTACTGCATAAACAAAAATATTTAATGAAATATAAAACTTTAGGCATCTCTTTCTAGAAACAAGAGGTTTAAAAAAAAAGTCTCTTGTAGGATAGTGAAACAAGTTGCAACTTGAAGTTGGTGCGTACGTCCTCTGCATTTAAAACGTGGGCATACCTGAGACTTCTGGTCCCACTTCTGACGAACGCCAAACTGTTTCTGAAACTTCTTCTGCAGGCGCATTCGATCCCTGCAAAGACAACACAAAGCGGAAGGAATGAATGAATAGATACCAGGGACTGGCCACAATTTTTTTTTTTAATTGATAACTCATCATCATCTGACCTCTCCTTTTGCTTGGCACTCTTGGGCAGTGTCTGCATGTTGAATTGCGTCAGGTTCCTGCGGTCTTTGTCCCTGCGCAAGTTCCTCTGTCACAGTGGAACGGAAGATTGAGCCGGTTGACAAGCCTCGATGTTCTCTTGCTACAAGCGGTGCGACGTTGTTACCTGAGCGAACCTCATGCGGTTCCTCTGGTAGGCTGTCTTCTGCATCTTGGCTGTGTCCACCAGCTGGAAGCTGGTCTCGTCCTCCTCGTGGAAGTACGCGTACTGGCTACCGCCTCCGAACTGGGACGAGTACTTGTCTGTGCACGGAAAACATTTGTAGGCTAAACGGTCATCGTCGTAACAGGAGACACCTCAGTTGACTTCCTCTCAGCCAGCAGAAAAACATTTGCGCAAAAAGGTAGTACGCCATCCTTTCAGTGTCCTGATGGAATCATTCGGCCATCTTTCGCGCCGTTAATGATTTTATTTGGGACGTTACCCAGTTTCTGTTTGTTCATAGGACCCTCAACCAGAATTGCCTCGGTTTTTTTTTGTTTTTTTTTTTAATCTCATCCATTTGTGATCAAAGAGTTGTATTTAGTATCCATTTAGCACATTTTAATGTGGCCAGTGGTTGTTTGAGTGAAATATTTGTCACGAAATTGGTTCGTTTCCAACATGTGAATATGAACATGTTTAGCTTTTTGATGTAACTTCATCTTCTCTAATTTTGAGGTTTCCAATTCTAAGTCACTCACTGGTGTATCTTTTGTCCTGGTAAGTTGCTCCAGTCCAGTCAGCGACCTGACAACCACAAGATGATGACGACAACAACAATGTGAGTTAGAAGAGCCAAAATTAGTGAAAAACAGTCCGGTGTGACTGGAGCACACCTTTCCCAGGCGGTCTCCTTTGCTGAAGGGCTGGTAAGGCATGTCCTTGAACTTCTCCGGCACGGCGCAGGGACCCCATCCCGACGGGTTGTCCTGAATCACGGGCGCGTTGAACTTGGCCATGACCTGCCGACAGGATTGGAGGAGTTGAAATATTACACTTTGACAAGTCATAAGCTGCATCTAGACTGACTGAGCCATGTTCCACAGGGTCTCAGGCTTTAATAAAGCACTGTTGTCTCCAGCAGGGCACTGCAAAAAAGAGGCACTGCTCAGTTTGCGCAGTGGGCTAGTCATCACAGACCCCTCGACATATTTCTTTTTCGTAATGCTAAGTGATTTAGTGATTTCGTAATGCCACTTGATTTGCAAGTGTTTTGGGATCAGATTTAGGGAAACATTTGATACATTAATACGCTCTCGTTTTCAGTATTTTATTTGTGGGTCGAACTGTTAATAAGAGAGAATTTTATACATTTTGGTGAGGCTTGCAATTACAACAACAAAAAATACATTGAATTTATGTTACAAGTGCCTGACGTCTAAATCAGTGTTATAAAAATAACTTTTCGTATAGTCACCAAGCTAGCTTCGTTTTTGGTGAAAATCTTAAGATGAACTACATAGTTAATAAGCGAACTTTTTTTATATTGCAGATGAAGAGTCAAAAGTTATATCACGCGATAAATGTTCAAAAGTTAAAAAAGAGAAGACCAAGCCGCCACGAGCGCTAATGCTACTAACGTTACAAGGCCAGTCATCATACCAGGGAGCCGCGCTAGCTAAGCTAACTGGCTCGTAAACGAGTTACTCCGCAACAACTTTACTTTAGTTCTCAGGAAATACACGCGTGAAAATAAGTTATTTTCGCTCGTTTTTTTCATGAGTCGCGGTGTTCTTACCGTATCCGATGTGACACGCTAAAATGGCTTAAATGGGCCCGGTGTACTTGGGAGAAAAATCCCCGTACAGGGCGCCGGCGTGAAAGGAAGTGGCTAACTGCCGTCAAGCATATTGTCACTGATGTCGTAAAGTGTCGCTGTCGAGACCTTCATTTCGAGTACATAACCGCTCGCAACTGTACTGTACTTTCAGATCATTTATCGCCGAGTGAGATTGTTGTTGATAAAATAGTTGAAGTTTACTTAAATATGAACGCAATACAGTATTTTAAATGACTGTACATTTCGAATACAGTACTGTATTTATGACGTAAAGTGCAGTTTCACACTACGACCACCAGGGAGCACTGTAGCCTTATTGTTCCACATTACAAAAACGACAACAAAGTACAGTATTTGAACAAGGACATGCGCTATTTCACGCCTTATTTTGTTTACATTGTTGCATTAAGATATATAAGTAATAAACAAAATGATGAGTCCAAACATTAACTTGAACATTCAACTGTTTATTTGTGAAAAAGTCTCTTCAAACCCTCACAGCGTTGAAACTGTACAATCAATAATTTAAAAAGAGGAAAATATTTCAGCTTATTACTCAGACACACATACACATACTCACACCTCAGATGCAGCAGCCATCAGCCCCCAAAATAGTGTTTAAATGTGTTTTTAAGTCCATTTTACAAGACTGCTCCTTTACTCAAAGCCAATAAGGCCAATCAGAGGGCATCCCCTGAAGAGGTCCTATCATGCATCCTTTTCTCAAATCATTTAAGAGGTCGTGCACACGCAAAAACAAACAAAAACACGTTTTTAGTCCATTAGTCAGCAAGTACAACGCATCTTTCTTTTCCAGCACATCACCAGAGAGGAAAACCTCTTCTGGAAGTCTTGGCAACAATACTGAGCCCAATTTGAAAAACTCAAGTGGCACACAAACATTTGTTCCATTTGCTGCACTAGTTTATCTTACACTTCATCCAGAGTCAGGAACTCTATCAGAGAAGATATAAAACAACACAAATTACTCCAAAAAGTGGTTGTTTTATGTCACAGGTAGAAAATAAAATAGTACATTAACGATCTGCAGATATGTCTTTCTCTCATTTTTGTGCATGTTGTCCCATTTTCAGAGTGCCACGGGTGAAAAAGCAGTAGCAAGGGCTGGCAGGAAGGAAGGAAACACATTCCCAACAACAGGAGTGTCGTTCCAAACACGAAAATCCACCACACGCCGGACACTTGTGCCAGGAACATTCTCAGTGCAGGATTACAGCTTCAGGCCACACCAACAAAGCCAGTGCAGCGGGAGGGAAAAAAAAATGCTGATTTTCGTCAGATTTGTTCCAAAATTGATGTAACACTCTTCCACACAAGCCACTGGGATGATAGTTTGGAGATGAATTTGGTGTAAAATGAAGAGAAAAAAAGAATTGAAGTATGTTTTCTGATCACAAAATCGGGTGTGTCAAACACATTTCATGACTGTAAAATGATATCAAGTGTATGTTGCGCACACAATTGCTCCTGCATTTTATAGTTATGAAAGTGAGCCCCTGCACAGTTGTGGTTCGGCGATTGAAAATTCTAACATCTGTAAAAATGTGATTAAAAATGGCATTTTACCGTCAAGATTTTATACCCAAACGGGAAAGAACAAATTGATTTACCAAAAAAACATGAATTTGACACACATGATTTGCTTTAGTAGGCCACAAAAAAATGCACCTGGCCCCGGGGCCTTGAGTTTGACACGTGCCCTGAATAGACGAAAAACACTTCCCATAAAAAGCAAAATACACATGATAAAATACTGATATGAGCTCCTAACGCTGCCGTTTAAGAAGAGAAACTGAGCTGGGAAAGGAAAATGAGGTGGCGACGTTGAAGGGAAAAAAATGGCGGCAAAAGTGAGAAACAGCGTGAGCTGTGGAAAGGGGGAAGATGAAAGCGCAGCGCAAAGAAGAAGATGAAGACGCCTCCCTGAGGAGTGTTCATTATTCAGCAGCAATGAATCATGGGATGGCGCACGGAGGAGGCGGCGAGGCCGACATCAGAAGGGTCGGGCTGCATTCAGAATCATTCACACGTTTGTTACGCAGGGATTTTTAGATCGTTGATGCAAGGGCTGAAACGATCCGTGGCATCTTCCCTAAATACTCTGTAGGGCCATTTATAGAGTGGACATTATCGCTGATTCATCTACTCATCAAAAGCGAAGTGCAGCAATTATTATTTCGCAACTAATCAATGATCAAACTACTTCAAAACTTTTTGGATCATGGATTAATCATGTCGAGCAAACTTTAAAATTGTCCAAATCCTCACAATTTGAGCCTCTCAACAGTAAATAACCCTCTAAAAGCAGAATCAAAATAAGTCTTTTGCAAACATCTGTTTTGACTTTGGAGAACAATGATCCACATTTTGGCTGACGGATGCTGAACTTGTGCGTCGCAGGACTGCAGCCGTCCCACATCAACCGATAACCGTGTCAATGTAACTGTGGCTGACACCATAATATAAATATTTTAAAAACACAATATGACGGATAATGACATCCTTCGAAGCGGATCGGGTCCCTGGTGAGATTTGGTTGTTTTTTTTTTTTTTTTTTAAATGCCGTAGTAAAAATTTCATGTGGCTGAAAGGCATCTTCGCGCAACATATTTAAAAATCCGTCACACAAGGACAACCCCATACCTCTTTCGCACCCCTGACACGAGATCATATTAGCCATAATTGGGGGAGGTAGGAAGCCACGTGGAACGAACGGGAGCCAAGTGTTGTGATCTAAAATGGAGCCCGAGTGCTAGTAGTAGTAGGCAAGTCCAAGTGTACAAAATGAAGAGAAATCAAGGAAAAGAGTCCTTCGCTAGTGTCAAGTTAGATCCAAGTGTGAGGGACCGTAAACAGTTACTTTTCACGCCAACAAGCGGGTGATGCACAGAACAAAAACCAGGTTTGATGCATCCGATCGTTCCATTTTCAGACACGCTAACGAAGTCTGCTAGTCACAGGTCAGGACCTGGAGCAAGCCGGGACTTGTTGCGTTTAGCTCCAATCGCGAGACAGCCGCTTGTTGATGTGCAAAGGAAAGTACAACGAGGCGCTCCAGTATGTGAGAAGTGTACGAGCTTCCGAGGCGACGACACAAGTGTGTGCATTGAGTGCGTGTCAAGTGTATGAGATGGTGGCAGAGGAGTAAGTGAGGAACATGTCAATGTGAACTGTATGTGTCACATGAATGGAGATTGAGTGCGTGTGGCGTGTACAGTGTGTGTGACGGGGTGTTGAATTCACTCCATTTTATTTCATCAAGTGGTTGAACGCAATAAAATCATCTTGATCCAGAAAATCTTTTTCAGAAGATGCTACATCGACCTCAAAAAATGTACCTGGAGACAGACCATTTTATTGCGTGCAACCACTTGATGAAATAAAACGGAGTCAATTCAGCATCCCGTTTTTTTTTTCCAGTTGTTCTGTATGTGACGACGGTTGTTTTTAAGAGGAACGTGTATGCGTGTGCGTGTGTCGCCAGTCCGGAGAGGGTTCCAAGAGCGCATGAAAATACTTGTGTGAGTGTGTGTGTGTGCGTGAGCGTATGTCACTAGGCGAAATGTGCTAGTGTGGGAGGCCATTTCCAAAGTGTGCCAACTTGTAGCTTATTGAGCTTGAGAATCAAGAAAAGATGACTTGTGAAGAAAAAAAATAAAATGTAAAAAAATACAGAGACACTTCATGAGTGCCTCTGTCTATACAGGAGGAGAAAACTCCTTGTTTGTCTCTCACGTGACTCGTGGTTTCGGTAGTAGCAGCGGGACACTCAAAAATCTTGGACTCCTTCTCCTGGGACTGCGCCCTGACCAGCGTCAAAGCTTCCCAGGCCGGCCAGTCGGTCACCCCGCTGGCTGTCGTTCCCCGGGGGGTGGTGGGGGTGGGAAGTAGCAGTTAGGAGATCTTGCAGTTGCTGCGCGTGCAGTTCTGCGGGGGGCTCTGCGGGGGCCGGATGGACTTGGAGCGCTTGAGGCTGTTGCCCTTGGAGCCGCCGGCCGGGTTGGCCAGCGAGTACGAGCGTCCGTGCATCATGACGGCGTTCATGCCGTTGGCCATGGAGAAAGACTTGAGGTGGGACTTGATGGCCACGGGCAGCGGCAGCTTGTCGATGAGGTGGACCGGCGTGCACGACACGATGGCTCGGCAACACAGGTCCTGCAGGCTGAACACTGGACACCCAAAACAATGACATCATCATCATAACAAGTGCGGGATGGAAATCACACAATAACTGAAATTCGGATTATTACTTTTTCACGGCACTGTACATGATGCAAGGGTAATATGATCCAAAGTCCCAACTTTTGCGATGGGCAAACCGTCAAGACGACTCGGGACCTACCTCGGTTGGGCTTCCAGAACTTCTCCATGCCGTGGCGCATGAGGACGATGCGCGACAGCTCAGTGAAGGACTCGATGACGTTGAAGTTGCACAGAGGGCTCACCTCGAAGAAGGTCATGCCGTTCTTCTCGGCGTAGGCCCGCGCCTGCTCGGTGGGCACCTGCCGCTTGAAGGCCAGGTGCAGGCGGTTGCCCACCAGGATGCGCGGAACGCCAGGCGCGTGCTGCATGAGAGTGAGAGTGAGAGAGAGAGAGAGAGAGAGAGAGAGAGAGAGAGAGAGAGAGAGAGAGATTTGATGTTTAAAACTGAGAGACTGGCGAAGCGCAAAGATTCATTGAAAGCTGAGGTAAACAAAACAAAAGCCACACTTCAAAGATGAAAAACAGTTTCTTTTAAATTTTGAAATCAAATAAGAAGAAATTATAGAAATATATTTTTAGACATTGATTGAGTTCTATTCATTGTATATATTAAAATATGCTAAACTACGCTCACTTTTAAATTATATTTAATTAAGTAAATCAAATATTTTACTCATGTTATTCTTATTCTATTAAGTTTTTCATTGAGATGAACGAACGAGAAAAATAAATTCAAAATGTAAATACAACAAATATTACAGGGCTCTTGTTAATGTTACACAAAAAAAATAAATAAATAAATAAAAATAAAAAACCTGTCGCCAAACATCAGTTTAGGTTCAATGAATACTCTAAATTGTCCAAAGGTGTGAGTGAGAATTTTGTCAACTTGTGCACTGACATTGGCGACCACTCATGTCCTGCCATTGACTGGTGACCACTCCAGGGTGTACCCCGCTTATCTCACCAAAAGTGAGCTACGGTGGAGTGCGAATGCTTGTTTATATAACGTGCTCTTCCATTGCCCGGCAACCATTTCAGAGTTTAGCCCGCCTATCGCCTTAAAGTCTGCCGGGATCGGCTCCAGCTCACCCGGGGACTCTTTGAGAATAAACACTGTCAAGGATGGACAGACGAATGGCGACAGCTGAATGTCAAGATGAAGAGAAGAGAGTCTATGTGGTGCGTTTAAGCACATGGCAGTGAGATCAATTGGCCGGCGCGGGGCTCACGAACCTCGTCAATCTCTCTGATCCACCGGTCGATGCCGTCGAAGGACCAACGGTTGGTGATGTCGTACACCAGCAGGATACCCTGCACGCAAGGGAGCAGAAGGTGAGAACGCAGTCAAGGAGAACGCACGAGGCCTTAGTGTGTGTGTGTGTGTGTGTGTGTGTGTGTGTGTGTGTGTGTGTGTGTGTGTGTGCGCGCCTCACCTGAGCGCCACGCGAGTATGAGCGGAAAATGGTGCAGAAACGTCCCTGTCCTGATGTGTCCCTAAAGACGAGAAGAATACAGGACAGCAAGTGGAAAAAAAACATAAAAAGAAGATTTCTCATCATAGGGGTGGTACACCTGCAGGCAATTTACAGACGCAGAAGAAGCGAACAATGCAAGTGCAAGGAAAGCTATAACTTCCCACGTTCCCTGAAGGTAACACAGATAAGAGAAAAAGACAAAGGAAAATAGGCCGCAAACATTTAATTTCATCGACTAATGCTCAAAATTTATTGTAATCAACATGTTCAATTGCTGTATATTTCCAGCAATATATGCAATTTGTAAGATGACCAGAATATGAGGAAAAAAAACAACAAAGACCTCTTAAAAAAAGACAAATAAACAAAAAATAATGTTCAATTGCAGGATTAAAAAATATTGATTTAATATGGTGCTTAAAGATTTTATACTCAGTGTTCCAAATTAGTATGCAAATAATGTTTTTCTCAGATTTTTATAGTCTATGAAAATGGCACAATGGTAACACAACAATGTCCCCCCCCCATCCCCTTAGCGGGTCGTGTTTGCAAAAATCAAAACCATCTTACCAGATCAAGTTATATTTGAATGCAGGATTCCTTATTTGATATCAGCTTTGAAAAAGAATATATTAAAAAACAGCCTATAGACTACAACAGACTAGATAAAAAAAAAATCTGAGAAAAACAATTTGCATTATAATTTAGAAGCTTGTGTAAATAGTGAAAAGGCTGTTAGGAAACATTTTGCAAAAGCTTCCTGAGGTTTGGAACCCCTCAAAATTGCTTTAAAATGGTCGGTTTATAGTGTGAAGCATACAACCTGCTCAGAATAAATATTTTTTCGAATGTCAAAAGTGGGAAAAAGTTGGTGTCATTTTTCTGAAATGTTCTGTTTGTGAAGCGTTCACGCAAGAACCCCAGTTTGGGAGTGCAAGACCATTTCAACTGCTGATGGGCAGCTTCAAGACCACCCAGAGATTTTTTTTTACAGTTGCCACCTCTCTGCTGCCGTGTGTGACGCACGCAAATCCGCTTGATCCAAAACACACAAAGATGGCAATAGATCCAAGTCAGCAGGAGTGACAATGAACAGATTCGCCGCCACAAATGGTTCGGGATTTTGAGATTTGAGAATCTGGCATGCTAATGCAAGTCAATTTGGGACGCCTGGTGTAATCTGAGCATGACTGCAGTTGCGCCGAAGAAAATGCGGAGGAACACGTCTCCTGGGAAAAAAAATCCCTTCCCGTCCTTTGGCCACCTCAGTCTGAGTTAGATCAGCGTGAGTCATGACACCGACACAAACGGCGGCAAGAAAAGTGAAGTGTGACACAGCATAAATATGAACGATTCCGTGCGGAGCTGCCGGCTCAGCTTCTCCGCTTTGCCCCACTTTCATGAAAACGCGCTTGTGCCGCTCACACGGAATAAGACACGGGAGGCATAAGTGCTGATGTCAGGCACGTTGGCGCAGGGCGGCCATTTTAGCCGGCTTTTATTTTTTTTTTGTCAGCTCACTCTTCCGTGTGGAAGGTATCGATGTGATTGGACGTCATTCGTCTGCATCCAAGGAGCTTTGAAATATATTTTAGCGGAGCGAGAAAGTTGCTTGGATGTACTCACCAAAGCTCCAGCTTCACCCTCCTGCCATCCAGAAGAATGGTGGTGGTCTTATAGTCGATGCCTGCATGAAGAGGAAGAAGAACAATGACACTGTCACTTCTCCCACAATGCACTGCGGGGAGGGTTAGGATCTACTTGCAACTGTATTCGGTGCATGTGGTATTGTGATTTTGAAGGCAAATTCCTGCCATCCTTCATTACGTTCAAAGCGGGACTTTGCACTTCTTCACAAGTTCAACAAGATTTTAATTGTCCTCCGAATGGTTGGTTTAACGGCCAAAAGAGAAAACTCGTCCGACGACACCTGCCGCTTCGTGTCCGGACACGTTCCCCTTGCCGGATGATCTCAACCGGTTTCTGTGGTTTTGCATGCGGTCGGCGGGAAAAGACCCAAGGCCAAATACCTGAATCGCAGATTGACGACTGCTTTACTACTTTGGACGCAGACGTTTTATTGTGAGCATGAGTGACAGTGAAGAAAATAATACAAGATTTTATTTCGCCCAGTTCTAGATTAAATCAAGTGTGTCACATTTTTTCCTTCTAAAAGTCATCCGCTTAATTCCACATTTGGACAACGTGAAATGGCGATTATGGGCCGCTTGCTAACATCAACAACCTCATGAGATCTTCTGCGATAAAGTGCTGAGCTAATTCCATTGCCGAGTTGGCGAGAGCGCTTCCTGGGATGATCGATGGCTCTTGTGATGTGTACGCTCGATGCTTCTATTCTGGGAGATGAGAGAGGACAACTCGTTCAAAGAGACGACGACGACGATGACAACCTCACGGCCTCCACGGCATCTTTAAAACTAACTATGCTGTTAGGCGACATATTGCGGTGTTGATTACGACTCTGGAAGAAGAAGTTGTTCCTTCCTGGTCAGAGGATATGCCATATAGTCCTTATTTCTGGCTACATCCGCTCAGCCTATGTAACACATTTAAATTGTCATTAAATTTACATTGTAAATGTTTAATTGCAAACATGTTAGTGTATTGATACAAAATAAAGGCCTCATCCTGGTAAAGGCATGACTCTCAACAAACGTTCTGTGCTGCCTGCAGTTCAGGAAACAAATGCTTCCGGCCGCCGCGGGAGCAGGGAAATTAGCAACTATTTCATCACACGGATGAAGTAACTCTGACAACAACACAAATTTGGCGCTCGTATGAACACACTAAAAATACCAACACAACACACGCACACACACGCGCAGCACAAAAACACTTAATGGCTCCTCGCCTTAAAAAAAGAAGAACCAGAGGACATTTTTACCCAATCCCAAGCTTCGGCTTCTTCTGCCCTGATTTCCTGTTGTTTAAATATTTATTCACAAATCGTCCTTGTTTTTGTTGCTTTTAGCCAGAAGGTAGCAGACAAACAGTTGACTTTTCCTCATATTTTGACTTTAAAGTTAAGCTCCATACAGTGCTACGAATGCTAAATACAGCCTCTTGTTGTTTCAACACCAAAAGAACCTGAGCCAGGCGCTAAAATCTTTTACTCAATGTCAGCAAGAAGCCTAGCTTGAGAGCACAAACACAGCATCGAATTTCTTCTATATTTACTGAAGAAAGACAAAACACCAAGTATTGGTATCAGAACGACACAGGCCTGATAATGCGTACGGCACGCTACGAAAGTTAATTGCCGACAGGTGCGGCTGTGACGCAGTTCGACTGGCCTGGAAATAGACCGGCCATTCGGGAAAATCAACACATTTTCCCGAAATTCCCGATGGCCGGCACGTCCCTGTTGCTGAGCTTCGAGGCCGAGCTTTCGCGGTAAGCCTTTTGGGACTCGAATAATTTGAGTCATCAGAAAAAACGTTGCAGCTCTAGAAACTGTAAAAACTCAACTCACCGCTGCTGTATGCGTAGGGCGATTCAGCCGAGCCGTCCTGCAGGCTGTCCAAGATCTCGCCCTTGCCCACGTCGCTATCGCCTACCAGCAGGAACTTGAGCAGGTAGTCGTAGCTTTTCACCGGGCTGCCCTGACTTCCCATGGCCTCCTCTCACATGAGCCCTGGTGAGCATATCAATGATGAGGGCATCACAACAAAGACGCTCATGATGGACGGAACGCGCTGACTTCACACTTGTGTGTCATCTGCAAATAAAGGCGCAACTGGACTAACAACAATTCACCGGTGGGATGCGGGCTCGAAGCAAAACAATACATATAATCGTCTGACATTATAGAAATCCGAGATCCGGTTCAGACAAATCAAGTTGGATTGGGGAGCCAAATTCACATTAATTGTCTGAAATATAAACACCATAGAGTGCTTTCAGGTTTTTTATTTTTTGGAGTCCTTAAAGGTACAGTGTGTAGAATTTAGTGCCATCTACAGGTTAACTAATAGAACGCAATGACCAAAGCTCGACTCTGGTGCCTCAGAGCGACCTCACTTTGCTAGCCTATCTCCAATTTCTTCAGCAGAGGGGCAAGCAAAATGTCACACCAAACAACTTCTAGTATTCCCTCGAGTGACGGACTAAGTGCATAGCATTTGTTTGTCTCCTTCTGGTATCGGTGAAAGGTGGTGGCGAAATATGGCAGCCTCTTGTATGGGAGGCGCACCCTAGGTAATATAAATAGCGATTACTTCAGCTATAGTTACATCCTAAAAATTTAGGTTGATATGAAAGAACATTTTTTTGCATACTACTGAAAGTAATAGTGTTTTTTTTTAATTATGAACAGTGAAAAATCAACACATTTTTTCCACACTGTCCCTTTAATAGAACACTAATAACGTATCTAACATGAGAAAATTGTCACAGAAATTTTTTTTTCTCACATGCTGGGACCAATGGAAGCTATTTTTATATTTTATGATGTCTTAGAAGTTTTGCTTTAAGCTTTTTCAAGGCTGGTTGGAATCTTCTCGGAATAGTGTTTTTTACATAACCATTTATGAGATACTGTTTTACATTTTGATGTAGTTTTTGACAATGAATCTCAGACTGCACAACTACATTTGACTCATTTTCTTAATTGTAATAGTGCCACTTCTATTAACCTTTGAGTTTGACTGTCGAGCTGGATTAAATTAAACAAAACAGAATCGAACTGAATTAAATCAAACACCATTTGTTGCCTTCAAATAGGTGCAAAAGAAAACCAAGGTCTGGGATCTAATGCAAACAGATTAAGGTGTATTTGGAAGGCTACAATTATTAGTATTGTCGGTAACATAACCGGAAAATTTAATTACAGGTTAGTGTGTGCTGACTTGACGGTTGAGTAATTTAACAATAATAATTATACTTTCAGTTGCCTTTAAAAAGAGAGAGAGAGAGAGAGAACAGAGTCGTGTAGGTAATGCATGAAAATGAAGGTGAATTTAGATTGCTTAAAATTACCCATTAGAACGTTGTCAGTTACAAAACCACGACAAATTGGACTTGTGCGGACTGGAGTGTTTAACAAAACAACAATATTTTTTCCCCCTTTAAAAAAGGCGAGAGCGAAGTTATTCGCTAATTATTAGTAACTTAGGGAACAACAAGCTATCCCACTGCCCCACAAGCTAACGCGCTAACATCCTTCTCACAGCTGAGTGCCGCTAACGTCATCTCGTAGGCGCCACAAATGATTGTGAATAATAATCAAAAGTATTTTATGACACCGTCACACCGATCGCATTCACCCCGAGTTACGGGAGTGAGTCAAACACACACACACACACACCGGTGTTAGCAGATAGTTAACTGGTGCTAACCTGGTGAGCTCCACTGCCAGCGACGCTTGCTCGATTTCAGGCCGCCTCGTCGTCTTCTCGTCCGGCTACGAAGATTACTGGAACGTCCCTCCGTCACATCCAGGGAACGGTGTTACGCGGGAAGGCAGGGGAGAAGAGCGCCGCGGCGGGGACTCTTATAATTCCACTCCGAATCCGTGCGCGTCCTCCGTCGTATCACTCCGTCACGTCCATGTTTCTCCATTCCTCCGGACCATAGTTATGGACAAGCCGAGAACAGTGAGGCAATCTGCGGATAGGTGACAGATTGCCGTTGTGTTACGCTCCCCAGTTTTGAGCACCCGCCTCCTCACTCGCATGATTGGTTGTTGCCCTCATGGAAGTATAGAAGGCGAGGGTCATTGGTTGGATCACGCTGCCAATCAAATCCCCTTGTCAACAACATGCAAATCGTGTGTGAAAACAAAGTTGATCAAATATTCACACTAAATAAAGACAGAAGTAATATTTATGACTCGTTCTTTTTTTTCCAAAAGTGATATTTTAGTTATTATTAACATTTTAATCAGAATGCTGCTCGGCACCTCACTTGGGCTCCCGCCCAATAGCTCAAGGTCCCGCCTTTTTATGCAGATAATTGGTTGCTGTATTCACCATGGAGGAGGCAGACAACAGCATTGGTCAGGAGAAGTTGTCAAACATACATTACACATAGATGACAAGGATAAACAACAAATAGATCTTAATTTCGCATTAAATAAAAAGAGAAGCACTACTCACGACGTGTATATATATTATATGTTTTAAAAAGCTATTTCAGTCATTTGAAATTTTTAATCAGAGAGCTGGTGGGCTCTTTCTCGCACTCCCGCCTTAAAGCTCAATGGCCCGCCTCCTCAATAGCTTGATTGGGCACTGGGTTCATCAACGCGAAAGCTGAGGACGGCATTGGTCGGGAAGAGTTGTTAATCAAACTCCACTGTTAACAACAGGCAGATGGTGTGAGAAAAAAAGACCAGCTAAACAAAGACAGGACACGAATTGAAAATGAGCTATTCTTCTCGAGTTAACATTTTAAACACTATTATAGACCGGCTAAATTTAATGAGCACACTTTCCTGAAAAAGCAGCGATTTCTTCTGTGAGAATGTGCCAATTTGATTGAATGACAGGCATAAAAAAATAATGTACACTAATGATTGATGAAAATGAGAATATCACTCTTGGGATAGGATTTGACAGTTTATGATCAGAGAATGAAAATATTTGAAAAGCCAAATACATCATAAACAAGGCCTTTTTATGACTTATGTTTAATGGCAAAGATTCAACATAAGAGCATTATGAAAAAAATCAATACAAATGAATACAAATCAATCACAAGTAAGACAAATTCTCCTATAAGACTGCACTAAAAATAACGTGATTAGAGGCACGCAACAATAATGACATACGTAATTTTAAATAACTATTTTTTTAAATGAAAATCACAGCTTGTCCAGTTCACATCATTTGGTCTAAATTAAGACTTTGACTTGTAAGATTAAAAAACATAAAAGTCAAATAATTTACACACATCAATTAACTATTCGAGCTTGCCCCGGTGTGTGACTATTAGCTTATGGTGGTTAAACAACTTTTAAAATGAATACCAAATTATTATTTTTATACCTAAGTGCATCAATAATTTAGTTCTTGGTAATATTCATGTCTTTTGATGTTTGTTCTAGTATTATTTCCATTAACAAATTGTATTGGATAAACATTAGCGGTTCAATCCAATGGACTATCTTCCTCACAATGGCAGCATTCAAAATATGTAACTTCAAGACGAATAAATAGCATTTGAAAAGGGTTTGAGAACTGTTGCACCCTTAACTTCACCTCATAAGGCAGACATGTTTAACATAAAAAAAAAAATTAAAAAAAAATCTGTGTTAGGACGTCAGTTTTGGAGTGTTTGTGCTTCCTATCTCATTAGAAGTGAGTGTTGCTGGTCACACGATTGGTCCCTTTCCAAGTCCTAACTGGTCACTGTAGTGACTGGGCAGCATGTTGGTGCGGCTCGCACTTCTGTTTTCCATTTCCACTCTCTCTCGCTCTCTCTCCTGCGTCCACCTATATTCATTTCATGACTTATTTATTTCATGTTGCTCAGTCAGTCAGTCGGCTTTGGCGGCGTGGCCCTTGGCGCTCGTGTGTGTCCACGGGTAGATGAGTTCCCCGACAAAGAGCTTCTTGGCCAGGGCGCCCCACGAGTGTTGGGGGTAGCAGCTGTAAGTGGGTAAGCGGTAAGTGTCGACCACAGCGCTGCTCTTCAGCGGGTTAATCTGAAGACAAAAAAACGACACGGAAGATTATCATTGTTATGATTTGATAGTGAGCAAGACTCTTCTGTACAATGTAATTTATTTGGAACAGATTTGGTGGAGGTGTGAACTGCATACAAACATGGGTTAAAATTGCTGCATCAGCAATACATATGTTAGTCATTAAAAATATTACTTTGCGAAGACTCACACTATACTATTCCACCATTTGAATTTTGTTTTGGTTAATTTTACCCTATTAACAATATGTTTCTGCAAATGTATTTCAAAATATATGCATAAAATGTACATATATTTTCCAATATACATACGTACAAATATTTGAACAATAGTTTATATATGATGTGTAATTCGTTTTTAAAACTAAAATAAAACAAAGTATTACCATTTTATTGTAAATATATTTCAACACAATGTACACAATTATCTAATTTTTAGATATAGTGTAAGAATCACTTTTATAGTAAAATATCAATAAATTTCATGATAAAAATGTTAATATTAATTTTACTTCATGTTTTAATAAAAATCAATTAATCCTATTCAAATGATCAGATGTTTAAAAGATGATATCTCAGTGAATAAAACATTCATAGGATCAAAATGATCATTATTTAAACCTATGTTAATGTTTGAATAATACTTTATATATGTTGGACGTAGTTTTTTTAAAAATCTACATAAAGTAATTTGTTTCTCATATTTAATAATCTAATTATAATGAATTATTATTACATCATTATTAATAATAAAACACTTTTAAAATTAAAAAATCAATAATTAAATTCTCATATTTTTACACTTTTAATATTCAATGTTCATTAACTCATTAAAATATTACAATTAATAAACTTCTTAATTACAATTTGCTACCAATATGCTTTGTTTTAAGAGCCTTGGTGGAGCTCTGTGCTTAAAAATATAAATATTGAATCACAAATATGGTTCAACAATAATGTTCAAATAAAAACAAAAATACTAATTGTTCTGGCTCTTAAAAAAATAAATAAATAAATGAAATTAAAAAAAATAATAACGTGAGGGCTCACCTCCATGAGCAGGTGAAGAGCAGATCCGGGCTCCTCACTCAGCACCCTGAATCTCACACCCTCTGAGGAGCCGGTGGGGCCCAGCACACACGGAAAAAAACAACAACAACGGAAAACAAAATTATGAAGTTGTTATTATTTTGATGACGTGAACAAAGTCGGACGCTGGTGTACCGGCGAGTCTGTACGGACGACACACACGAAGGCCCATGGCGAAGAGCGGGAAGGAGTTGATGAAATCCAAACTCAGATGGATGACGCCCTGGAATAGGACGATCACCAGACGCAACTGGACAACACACACACACACGCACGCACGCACACACACACACACACACACACACACACACACACACACACACACACACACACACACACACACTATGTAGTGTCGTCCATCTATCTACAATCCGTGCGTTCAAATTTCATAGATATCACACAAAATCTCCCCAGGAAAAGGTCAAAATGAGCCAAAAATTCACGTTTCAAAGCAAAAATGTCGACTTTCATTGCCTTTTCTGGCAAAATACTCCAAACCAAAATGGCAGACTTCTGGGTCTCTCTGGCATGCTTCTTGAGACTTTTTTTTTTTTTTTTGGGTGGGTCTACTCATGATAGATAAGACTCCCAAATATCATGTTTCTAAGTGAAAGGGGCTCAATTTTTTAAAAAAAAACATTTGAGGCGGCTGATTTGACGCTAAAATGACCACCTTAAAGCAACATGGCTGTCTTCCTGTGTCTTTTCAGACATGGCTCTTGAGACTTTTGGGTGGGTGTACTTAGGACAGACATGCCTGCCAAATCTCATGCTGCTAAGTGAAACTTTTTTTGTTTTGTTTCTTACCAGTGTGAAGACCAAGTAGTAAAGCGCAGTGGTCGGCAGCAGGAAAAGTAGGATGGTAAACAGCAGCGTACCAATGAAGAGCTACGATGACACAAATATGCAAATTGGGCGCAAGTGACATACATGATGATGTCAAAAGTCATTTGCATGTGCCGTTACCTGGTCCATGTCGTAGGAACACGAGTCAACTCTTTGCCTCAGGACGTTCCACTTCTTGCCTCTGAAGAGCCGCCAGAGCGAAGAGAGGCCATAGATCTTCAGGCAATAGAGTCTGTCACATTCAGAAAATATGTTACAACATTTATGCAAGAACTAAATGAATATGTAATAATATTTCATAATGCAACACCGGCCCGGGCTATCTTTAGCGTCATTGCATTATTCACTGCGGCCTCTTTTCCGCCTCAGGATCACAAGCAGAACTCAAAAGAGGGCCCTGGCACTTTTATGAATAAGTCACTTTTTTATGCGTGCAAAATATCTGATAATGTCTTTCGTTTAATTTCACTTTTCTCATCTCTTGTCGACAGACCAGGAGGAGCAAAAAGTAAGAGCCTGCCCTCTGCAGGCGACACACGTGTCTATCAAAGGAACAACTACTGTACAATTTTTTTGCGTGGTAAATGTGTGAGTCTGTATGTAATGTGATGTTTCAGGAATGAAGTATTACTTCAGTTGGAATTATATAGAGCAGCCAGAAGTAGGACCAGGAACTATAACTAGCACAGGATGACTGAAACAGAAACAATAACTGTAAGTGTAACTAGGAAAAGAACTACAGCAAATGTGGAAGTCTAACTAAAAATACACTTTAGTACAAATACATACAAATTAGTCCTAGTACCAGAACTAGGACTGGAACCAGAATTAAAGGTGGAACTGTAAGTAGTAATAAATAGCAGAAACTTGAACAACAACTACAACTGGAAGCAGAATTGGAACGAAAAAGAAAAAGTTGAACTTCAACTGGAACTAAGACCGAGAAATAGGACTTAGGACTAGACTGGATCAATAAACTACCACTAGACTGGAACTAGCACAAATCCTGGTACGGCGAAAACTATAACCACAACTACGACTGAAATTAGAACAACGATTGGAACTACAAATACAACAAGAACTTGAACTACAGCCACAATTGGGAATGGAGCTAGAACTTCAGCTAGAACTGGGACGAGAACGAGAACTACAACTGTAACAAGGGTTGAAAGACAAAAAAAGACCAGCACAGGGCGTGAGAAAAGTCTGCCCCCTACAGGCGACTACGAGACCTGGCTCCGTAGACGTAGAAGCAGTAGATGTGGAAGGTGAGCAGCGCCACCATGTCGGACAGCAACGAGAGGGCAAAGGTCAAACCCAGGCAAGCCGACAGGCCGCCGTACCACAGGATGGACTCCATGAATGGTGACAGCAGGTGCACGTAATCTGAAAGACATCAAGCAACTATTTTGTTCAAACAAAAACAAAAGTCGAACTGTGTGTGTGTGTGTGTGTGTGTGTGTGTGTGTGTGTGTGTGTGTGTGTGTGTGTGTGTGTGTGTGTGGTCCACTCACTGATCCACAGGTGGATGTGATAGAGGAAGAAGCGGCCCAAAACCTGGTCCAGGGCCCGGTTCATCTTCAGCCCAGCCGGGGCGCCCATGAGCCATTGGAGCAGATCCTGAAGCTCCTGAGCAACATGCTAACCAAAGAGAGTTCCGGCTAAATATCAAAACGCGCGATCAAACATGCTTACCATAAAGAATTCCGACGACACGCATGGTTGTTAGCGGTGTGTGTTTGGCTCCTGTGCGCCACACACCTCGCGCCGAAGCAAAACTGGAATTACCACTAAACATGGAAGTAAATTGAACTCAAACTAAAATTGGAATCAAAAGGTCTGGAACCATAACTGATTTTTAATGTTAAGTGCGTGTTTGAAAAACAAGCGTCGAGTGTGTCTTACATCAGCAGCAGGAACTAGCATGTTGGCTATCATGCTAATATGGTTGTCTCTGTAGAGCCAGGAGGCCAGCAAAAGACCCAGACCCACATCCACCAGGAAGGACACAAACACATTGGCCTTTCTGCACACGCACATCCACATCACCACAAACAACATGTGAGCGAGTCAGGAGAAGTACGACAATATGACGAAAAGGAGAGTTCACTGCACGCTCAAATTGCTCACACTAATTAAATAAAACTGGAATTAGGATTTGAACTACAAGTACAGCCAAAACCGAAACTAGTAGAGGAAGTAAAGGACCTGAGCCTGGAAGTAGAAGACAGAGTGTAACATGGCTAGAACAGAAATTGCTAATTACATTTTCAAGCTTTAAGAAGGACTGGACCTGAAACTGGAAATAAGATTGCAAGTAAAACTGGAAGTGACACTACAAAGGGACTAGAACTGCAACTGGACGTAGGTCTACAGTAAAAATCAGAACTAAAACTGGGACCAGAACAGGAGGTAGAATGCGGACTTCGTTTTATAACCGTAACTACAATGATCACTGAAAAGAAGAACTAAAACGACGAGATGAACCGAGTACCTCACCTTGGACAGGTACCAGTTCTAATGCTGGAACTAAAACAAGTGCTGTGACCGGGCTTAGCTCGAGATAAGGGCAATAATCGAAGCAAGATGACGAAAACGCTTGAGCAGACTAACGTTGTAAACAGGAAGAAGAAGGAGACCAGTGGTGAAACCTGATGAATTGCGTGTGATTCTCGGCTGGTTTATGTGAGCTAAGTGTCTTGAGGAGCTGGGTCCTGTAGCTTAGCTGTACACAGGACGACAATTTGGACCACAGGAAGGGCAGTGGGAAAACCTCAAAGACCCTGTAAAGGACCGGAAAAATGCACACATTAATATGTGTCACGCTAGGGTAATTAGCATGCGCTCTCTCCTAACCGCATGCTGCAGATCCAAGTCCACACGGCCAGGATCCGTCTGAGAAGCATGCAGACCGGCACGGAGGCCCGTTTCAGGAGCTCCACAATGATGCTTCCCTCTCGACCTTCAGACTGCCAGTGGGTGGATTTCAGGGGACCATCGTCATACTTGTCCATGAAAAACAGGGGACCGCTGCTAGACACCGTGTGGAACACCTTGACATAGGGCACAACACACATTACTAATAGCAGGACTATAGTATAACAAATAAAAGTGGAACTGCAAGTGCAACTAGAACTGGAACTATGACAAGAATGAGAACTGCAAGTGGACTATAACCACCTGGAGCTACATATGGAATATTGAAATTAAACTAGAACTGGATCTAGGATTGGAGCCATAACTAAAAGCCGAATCAGAAAATGAACTGGACTGGATTTAGTGTAAACTGGGGGGCAACCGTGTCCGTACCTGTCTCAACTCAGACAGCGAACCATCTTTGGATTCTGGGATGCCGTTCTGGATGGGATGTAGCTGTGACAACATCACTTTTCTCTGCTCGTAGTGGACAAAGATCACCTTCTCCTTCTCTTCCTCATTCTCCTCTTCCTCATCCTCACTCCTCTTCACCTCCTTCGGTGGCGGGGTGCATCCGAGGAGGCGGCAGGTGAAGCCTTTGTGGCCCAGGCGGCGGCTGATCTGGAGCCAGCGCTGGTGGGGGAAAATGGTGCCCAGGTCCCTTAGGAAGCTCTCCATGCCCTCCTCGCCATCCTGGGGCAAACTCCACGAGCCCAACACGGACAGTTTCACTCGGCTCTCGGACGCCATCTGACACCCAGGCGAAAAAACGAGGAAGGAGAAGAACCAATATTACTAATATATTAATATTGACATCAACTGGCCTTGGAAGTACAAATTAAAACCGGAACTAAAAACAAGATGGAAATAGAAAGTAGCAATTGACTGGAGCTAGAAATAAAATTGAAACTCGAAATATGATTGAATTATATGCAGACTAGTACTGTAAATAACACTAAGTGGCACTGGAACTAAGAAGGGATCAAAAGTAGAAATGTCACTGGAACTGAAAGTAGTACTTATACTGGAATTGGAACCACCAGTTGAACTAGGAGTAGGACTAAAACGGGAACTCGTACAAAAAGCGGTTCTAGCACAAGGCATTGGAATTTGAAGCAGAACTAAAACTGGACTTAATGCTAAACTGGAACTACAACTACGACTACGGCAGGATCACCACATTACTTGTTGATGGTTCATTGTGTGTTTTGACGGTACTGGTGGTGTACCTGCTGTATGTAGCGTTTGACGTGGCTGGGGATGAATGGGTAGTGGATCACGGCCAGCACCACGGCCGAGTCATGTTCGGGGATCCAGCGGCCCACCAGCAGACCGCTAGCTGCAAGGTTGCAGCTTTGAGGGAAGAACACCTTCAGAACCATCGCTGATTCGTCTTCTTTCTTCTACACTTGGACATGCGACAAAGAAATTAAACGAGATCCTCATTTTGTACTTGGTGGTACCAAAGTCATCATCACAAGATAAAGAACCAAGTTAACGGTAGCAAACGCACCTCACATGCTCCCAGTGACAACTGGGCCACTAACAAATAGAATAGGCTAATGCCATTTTTGTCATTTACATGATGTCTAAATCAAGGTTTACTTCCAATTTTGACATGCAGGGAGAAGACTGTTATTGCACTTGGCAATTTTCCGGATTCATCAGTGCAACACTGCCAACTCCCAAGCTGTCAGAGGGCATTAAGCAAGGGTTTACCTCCCGTTCAAATAAAAAAATAATCCCAGAAAATGACCTTCGCAGACTGGCAGAAAAGTGAGAGAGGAAGTAGCACTCGGCTTTGGGTGATGGTATTTGTGAATTTTATTTACCGGTATCATTTTTTTCCATGAAATGTTGATATTTATTTGCCATTTGCTTGGAATAGAGTATAACCTGAGGAAAACCACAATTTCTGTCAAAACAAGTATCCAGCTGCAATCAGCAAAATATAGATCCCTCAGATTTCAGTGCAAAACTTTAACTTTCGCAAAATGTCAAAAAAGAAATTAATAAAATAAGGAGAGTACTGTCACCCATTAGTTCCTGGTGGTTCAACTGGAAGGATGCAGAACCTACTTCGTGGTACCAAACACACCAGATGCACTCGGGAGTCATCCCAAATGCAAATGGCGGTGTTTTGAGAATAACACTGGTGCATGTGTGTGTACTAACATCATCGAGTGTCCTCATTGTTGTCCTTCATGAAGGGCACAGTACCCGAGGCACAACTTTCATTGATTTCCTGCCCGCGCGCGTTAGCAAGCTAGTAGAACTGCTCAAAAGCTTAGGTACACTATAATGTGACAAAATAAAGAACGAGGCGTACAGTATACATGTTTGTCCATAATTTCGATACGATAAATCCAAGTTGATTATTGTTATGACAGAGCGTTTGCATCCCCATCACAGTCTGTCGATCAAAATACAATTAAACGGGACTTCAATTTTACAATAAAAATATTAAAATGTGTAGTATAGTGCAGTCACAATAACGTCAGGGAGGATATTTGTTGTATATTTTTTTACCTTATTGTCAAGCATAAAAAGTTTCACCCTCCGTCCACAGTTTGCTAGGCGGCCATTTTGTTTATTGACAGTCCCATACGTTAAAAGTTCCAACTGGAAACACAAGTCCGGAAAGTGCTGCAAAGACATTAACTCGAGCCTCACTTATAATTACCATAGATGTACACATACAGTACCTGAATAAACATTGATATAGACCCCGTATTAAAATTAAAATACAACTTTTAATTTTAAAAAGTTGAATCCCCTGTTGCATTGTAATATAATACAGTCATTTAAATACCTTTTTGGAACAATGCAATATGAAAACACATGGCTTTGATGATTTCTTCCATTGATAAAAATGTGTATCGTGATAATAACAGTCATGATCATACTCACAATGAATGACTGCAATTGCTGCTGCTGCTTCTGCTGTCAGCAAATAAGGAGTCACCCAGCCGTTAAGTAATTTATCTCCTTTAGCGGTGACACAGCACCAAAAAGGCGGGACACATTCCTTATCTCAAAAGTTTTGGTTTAAAAACTATGCTCTTCCATTTCTTTGTAATTTCTCAGACTATATGGTACTTAAATACTTTATGAATTGTGCAATATTCAGTAATTCCGCTCCCCTCACCCTGATGTTTCTAGTTATAAAATACTGCAAAAAAACGCCATTACAGTAATACATGTTTTTAAATCAAGAAAAAAGAAAAAACGGACCAGAGTGTCTCGTGTGGTACTCTCGCGATACATTTTACGACTGACGCGGAAGTAAACAAACGAACATGTGAACGATGGAGCCTGTTGTGTCAACCAATTTTCACTCAAGAAAACAAAACCGATCTGACATTTTAAAACAATTCCAATCGCGGTATTTCGCTACCAGTCGCCTCGTTTCATTCCCCTGGACGGTGTGTAAAAAGCTCACATTATCTTAAAATTATCGTGTTGTTTGTATATATTCCGCGTAGTTATAATTAAGATACGTGTCAGTCCAATCTATCCATCCATTATCCGAACCGTTTATCCTCACGAAATATCATCTAAATGATAGTTTTACCTTTCACAGCTTTTAGAAAATGAGCTTGAACGCAGCAGCTCATCTGACATCATTTTAGAAATCCTTAAACAGGTAAGCGGGGTACACATATCTTAGTTTTTTTTTTTTTTTTTTTTTTTTAATATTTGAAAAGTCACAAACTTGAATCTAATGACCGTGTTTGTGTCAGACGTGTCTTCACGCCCTGTGCCGTAAGTTTCCGCCGTCACCGCGATACAGGAAGTGCTTTCTCTCTGAGCTCATAAAACGGGTGAGTATTTTGCCCCCTCATCAGCCCGTTATGGTAACGCTGTTTCCCGGATGCTGTTATCATGATGACGCTCATTTGCAGGTGGAAGCCGCAGAGTGCGAACCTCTTGATGAGCTCTATGATGCTCTGGCAGAGGTAGTGGCGGCCCAAGATGTGGCAGAGGGATACCGGACCTACTTACTGGTACCAAAGTCAACTTACACACACTCAGTGACATCATGTAGAACCTACTTGATGGTACTAAACTCCCAATACGCACATTCAATGACATCATGACGGACAAAGAACCAATGGGTCTCAGGGTACCAAAGTTGTTACATTGCACACACACTCATCGAAATCACAAGCAGAAGTGTCAAATCAGGTGTAGAAAGTAAAAACCAGACCACAGTTTGGCTTGAGCCACATGTTTTTCTGCTCCCAGGGGCTCGATTACCTGCCAATTGAGTAGACGCACCTGTGGCTCGAGCCAAACTGTGGCAGGTCTTTCATTTTCTGGATCTGAATTTGACACCTTTTGTCACAAGAAATAAAGAAACTACATCATGGAATAAAATTCACACACACTCAGTGAAATCATGAAGGCGCCATAATCTAATTCATGGTACCAAATTTTCCCCATTCCACACTGAGTGATGTGAACTTCACATTGTGAAGGATACAGAAGATTTCTAAAGGTACCAAACTTACCCACACACACTATTGGGTCCATGTTTTCCTCAGCCGTGCGGGAACAGCGTCAGCTTGTTGGAGAATGTGGCTTTAATCTCAGAGGGGACAACAGGTCTGGTGACATGGGAGGCAGCCCTCTACCTAGCCGAGTGGGCCTTGGACCATGCGCAGATTTTTGCTGGAAGGTACAACAATCGAGAAGATGATCTCCTCCAGACTTAATGAACAAGAAATTCTCCTCTGCAGGAAAGTTCTGGAGCTGGGCAGCGGTGCGGGTCTGACCGGCGTCGCTGTGTGTCATTCGTGTGCTCCTTCCTCATACGTCTTCAGTGATTGTCACCAAAGTGTCCTCCAGAGACTTCGAGACAACTTGAGCATCAACGGACTCCTCAACAACAAAGCAAACACTAGCAGGACAGAAGTCAGAGTGCAAGATCTGGACTGGACGGATGTGACGGAGGAACGCTTGAATGACATCGGTGCAGATGTGGTCATAGCAGCAGGTCCGACCCTCCCCGATACTGCGGGATTGACGGAATGCAAAAGGCAGAAAAGGTCTTCTAGAATGTAGTTAAGGTTCTGAAAAGTTGAAGATCCGATGTTATAGAAAGCTGCGGGATAGATGTCTTGAAATCTTTATTGTTCTGGAATGTTGCAGGTCGGATGTTATGTAATGTTTGCAGGACGTATGTTCTCGAATGTTATCAGAAAAGTGTCCCACAATGTTGTATATGTTCTAGAAAATCATCTGAATGGATGATGATCTGGAGTGTTAAAATGAATTTTGGTCCATAGTGTTGAAGGTTAGAAGTTGTGTAATTTCAGAAAATATATTCTATAAAGCTGGCGGGGAAATGTGTGTTGCAGATGTGGTGTATGATCCTGACGTGATTGCGGTTCTGGTCCAGCTTCTGTCCAAGATCCTGAAGCGTGGTGGTGTTCGGGTCCCCTCTGAGGTTTTCGTCTGCTCTACTGTCAGGAACCCGCAGACGTACACCGGGTTCAGGCACAGTCTAAGTAAGATTATGCAGCCTCTCATGCTGATCGGCGAATTATCTCCATGAGGGCGGAGTCTGAACAACATCTGATTAACAGGTGCTGCTGGGATAGGCCACCGGGTGATGAGTGGAGCTGTCAATCACGTCTTTGAGTACAACAGAGAGTCTGAAATCGAGCTTGTTCAATTATTTGCGTGTCAATAAAGTTTTTTTATTTACAAAATGGGAATATTCAGTGACAATTCAACAAGACTGCAGTTTGGTTCGAGTCCCTCTATGGTCACCTAGAAGAAGAAGTGCAGGAGGAATAGGAGGAGGACAAGAGCGGGAGGACGTGTTGGTCCCAGTTGTCGTCCCAGCGCTGCTCCCTGTTGGCGCGCAGATTCCTCCTGAATGCGCCCAGTTTGCCATCACTGCTGGGAAAGTCTGACAACAAACTCTGGAAATACAAATTTAAGAATACTTGTGGTGTTTAAATGATTCGTTAATCAATTCACTAAGGTGTCACCTTGAGCTGTTGGGCCAACTGCGTGCTGTCGGAAAAGATCAGACCATTGTGCCCGTGCTTCACCAGCTCCTCGAGGCTGAAAGGGAGCCAAGAGATTTTTTTTCCCCCCTGATAATCTATTCAAAATTCATAAAATGAAACACAGCGCTTCACTTTTTTGCTGCACTCCGCTCTCTGGTGCCAAACTCACCACAGAAAATGGACGGCGCACACAGGCAGGCAGCATCCAAACATGTCCACCACCTTCATGGGCAGGTCCAGCCCGCTGGAAGACTTGTGCAGACAAACGCCAAGGTCGGCACAACCTGAAAATAAACACAAAGCATGATCATAAACAAAAAGGCTGCTTGGGTTGAAATGGGGTACATGCAAAACGACACCAAACTTTTTTTTTTTGCCCGACAACCACTACACCACTACGACTATCACTACCACTAGGGCTGCAGCTTTAGAATATTTTTAGAACTGGGAATTCTACCAATTAGCTCATGGTTTAATCAAATACAGTGGAACCTGTAAGTGGGTGTTTTGGGGTGTGTATTTTAGGCTAAATTAATACCCCCATTACTACTATTTATTAATAAAATGTTCAAAATTGCTATGTGTGTTTCAAACTGACCTAACAAGACAGGATAATCTTCCGGCTCCAGCCAGGGTGTGCAGATCTTCACGTGCTCCAAACGTAGACTGTCAATCATCTTCATGTAGCGCTCCTTCTGAGGACCTTTCCCTTCACACGCAACCACCAAGACAGACAAGTCATCGAGGGCTTGCCCTCAAACATCAACGCCAATCGTACCTGTGATGACGCAGATGAGCGGCGGGAGAGTCTCTCCCGCTGAGATGAACTTTTCGTATTCTGTCAGGAAAAAGCAGGAGACACTCAAAACACTTCACTTAATTATGGTGTGCCGCAGGAGTGTTGTTGCGGTACCTTGAAGAGCCTGCAGGAGGATGGAGAAGTCTTCATCCTCTGAGGAGGGACAGCAAAGTGATGGACAGAAGACCGTAAAATGTTTGCAACAATGCAAGACAACTTATTGTAGTGTATACATTTTATATTAGATACATTTGTAAGATTAGACATAAAATATCATGTTGGGATGGAAGAAAGCCTTTTATTTTTTTTACAACCTTTGTATACTGACAAACTAGCTATAAAAATGTTCTTAATTTTTAACTGACCCTTGTACAATATGGGGAAAATTTTGCATCTTAATTTGAAAAAAAAAAGTGTTTTACTCACAAGAAAATACAAAACAAATTGTTTTTTTTCCCCCATCTTTCCATCTTAGTGAAAGGTGAGAACAATTCGACACTCTTCTGCTAGATGGAAGACAGTGCAATGAAGCTCCCATCAAAGAATAATTTATGTGGTGAGCGAGCACCTGTCCAGCTGGTACTGCTGATGAGCAGGGTGGGGCGATCGGGCCTCAAGGTCACAGTGTCCTTATTAAGGTCTCGCACAGAGAAGACAGTTTTCTCCATGACATCATCATCAGCACTGCTGAAGGAAAGCCGAATAGAAGGAAAAAAAAAATCTAATTTCTTGATGAAGCAGCATGTGGCACATTAATCAAGGATGTTCCAAAAAATAACGTGACAATGTTTGCAAGAATTGTAGCACTTGCCTGCTATGCCGAAAGGCAGGAAGCATGTGTGAAAGCCTCGCAAAAAGTTTGTGCCGCGTCTCCAGTGGTGTCTCTCTAAAGATGGCCGCCGGTTTGTCATAGAGAGTGGTCGCCCTGCAGAGTGCAAAGTAACTCAACTCAACTGTGTAGATCCGGAGCCACTTTCAAGATATATATTACAACGTCTAAAACACTATCATGCAGAAAAATCCACATCGCCCTACAGGTATGATGACCCTGCTCTCACGTCAAAGCCAAAAGGTAAGCAGAGCTGCGATGAGTTCTGTTGGAAGCAAAGATGTGCCACATACACACAGTAAAGTGTATAACTTGCTGCTTCCACGAGTTTATATACTTGTCGTGTCTTTATGGAAACCCAGAACTTCCCCAAACTCTACCTACGTACTTGTTAGTTCATTCTGGCCCTGATCTCCATGGCAACAAAATCAGGACTTGCCATCTGGGGGCAGGGTGAGCAGTGGCTCACTTTCACAAGACAGACTTGTCCCTTCAAAACAGGGCAATTTCAGAAATAGTCAGTCTAAGTTGGTTGTTTTAAATGGTGACAAAAGCGCATCACAGTATTTTCAATAGTTAGCATGTTGCTAATAGTCATTAACACCAAATCCTACTTGATGCCCCAGTTCTTGTGCAGATCTTCCTTCATTGCGTCGGTCACACACAAGTGCTGAGATGCCAGACGACCAAACACATGCTCGTACCTACAGGAAAAACATTAATATTTGATTTGCTTCAAGGGCGGGAGGAACCCAGCAGAAAGAAAAATCCCCCACTGAGAGACAAAAATTTGTTGTTCCCAGATTTCAGAGAGAAAATGCAGCTGTTTGAAGGGTTAGAATTAGCGTAATATCTAGGCTAATTTCCATTAGCCTGTATATGGCTCATCAATTTAAACATTAGCATGAAGCTAGCAGATTTTGTTTTACCAAACAACAGGATGTTGTCGAAATATTACATTCAGTTTTGTTTTATGCGTTTGTTTTTCAGAAAAGTGGCACTAACCACTTTGCCAGGCGCACGAGCGGGTGCGCGTGGCCATGGGTGAGTGCCATGATGGTGTAGCCGTAGTTGTGCCAGTCGATGATCAAGCTCCCGCCACGCAGGATGCACGTCAGCCACACCGAGGCCATGCCTGGCAATCCGGGAGGATTCTGCAAAGAGAAACGTAATCCAGAACTGGAGGCCACTTCACAGTCATGATTGGTGGTCGGGAGTCATGTTACCCACCTGCAGGAGTATGTGAGTGTGTGGTTTCAGCATCAGTAGCACAAACAGAACCTGTACGAACTGAATGGTCACTTTGGTCACATACGTCAAAATCTTCGGGCCACCTGAAGGTTTTTGGATATTAAAAAATATATATAAAAAAATTCCACCATTTATGCAACCAATAACATCTACATCGCAAAGTGGGGAGGGGGTAAACAATCAAAATGCTTCTGATTGCTCTGATTAAAACTCAGATGTTCTAGTAGGCTTTTCGTGACATTTTTCTCATCCCATTTGACAGCGCAGTCCATGATTCGTGGACTTCCATTGAATCAGAACTCTCCAACTATAATTGGCTAACATAATGTTGTTTATCTATATGTGCCCTGACAATAAAGAGGACAAGAATGTCAATCCGTCGCTTACCTCTAACACCTTTGACTTCCACAATCGGGACGATTTGAATCCTCTCGTCCCTCAACACGTCTAGGTGAGGCTTGTTGTCTAAGCGTAAATAATTTAAATGAATACAAATCAGACGTATATTGATTGTGCATACATGCCTGTGTTTTACCTAAATATCCCACTAGAGTGACTTGAAATCCACGTTTACTCAACGACAAGGAGTGATACTGCATGCGGGGACTACGACCAATGTCCCCGAGAACCAGGACGCACACCCGCCGCACGGCATCGCCGTCGCGTCGCCTCAACAGCCAGCAAAGGGCGACCGCGAGACACACCATCACCGACACCACCGGCCACCAGATACCCAAACCGGCGCCGCAGAACACCGCCGTGAGAAGTGAAATCAACACAAAAAGAATCAGGCTGGGAGCGGGCGGCGCCATGTTTGTTTGGCATTCGCGATGACGTGTACCGGTGTTGGAGGCAGGGGAACCGATTTAAAGGGACCGCAGACGTTGGGACCAAAATCACGTCGACAAGAATTAATTTAATTAGTTTCAACACGTGTATTTTGGCACATAAAAAGTCATATTTATTACATATAAGTAATTAGTAATGTGTATTGATGATCCAAATGCTCCGTAAAATTTTAAACGGGACAACGCTCAGTAATTCTTTGTTCTTCTCAAATGCGAAAATTATATTTGTTTGCCAACTTGTGGTTTTGCACATCTAAATTATCATGATTTCAGTACAAAAATGTACATTTAGGCAAATATATACAAGTCATTATGGTCTGAAATTTGTTAATGTGTTTCTCACGATAAAATGACGTCACTTGACAACTTTTTGATGAGGAAATCGTTCATTCGTTTTTTGTTTTTTTTTACTAATTTATTCGTCTTCGTCTAAATTATGATCTTGTTCACTCACAAAATCGCATTAATGTAAATTAAATCCCATTTACAACCTTACGTCCCTTGACAACGTTTTGGAAGGCGTTGGGTGGGACGAACGGAAACAAATGATACTTGTTGTTTTTGCACAGCGTTTGGCTTTTTTCGTCTAAATAATTACATGTATTATTTAATTATTATTAGAACGTATTGTTTTTTTTTTTTTTAAGTAATACTGTACATCAAAATAAGAACACGCGGGTCGGTTTTCATGACGTCACGGTCACGACCCGCCCCCTGCAGGCTTTCAAGGACGCGTTCAAGTGTCTTCGGGGAGAGCTGCAAGCATGCAAACGTCGAAACTGCGGTTGTCCGCCTTGGCGACGCTCTTGGCGGCGGCGTGTTTCTGCAGCTCGCGGGCGGAGGTGATTGACGACGTGTTGGGGAGCCTCTCCAAGGGCGCCGCCTTCCTGGAACGCCAGCACCAGCACATCAACCTGGACGGCGTGGTGGGCTTTCTCATGCTGCAGGGTGCGTGGGGGGGCCGCATGGGGCGTCCGGGGTCGCGTCAGCGTGTTGTGGCGCAGTGTCTGTCCCCCTGCACACGGCAAGCAGCTGGCTGTTGCAATCACACCGGCTGACAAAGCCATTTTGGCATAAAGTTCATTTCGCATTTCTGATCAGAGTAGCTGTTTTCTCGCGGCCTTCATTAATATTGCAGATGTGATTCCCGTAAATTACATATTGAATTTTTAAAAAAAAAAATTACATTATTTCTTTATAATTGCACTTCCTCCCATAATATTGCAAATATCTTCATGCATAAATGCAACTTTTACAATTTGTACCTTTTCTGCAGATACTACATGTAATTTTCTCATGTTATTTTCTTATTGTTACACTTTATTCACGGAAAATGTAACTTTTTTACCGTCCAATTTTTCTCATAATATTCTAACTTGTAGTGTAATTCAAATGTTATCCTGGCACATTTTTGGGTGTGTTTTTCTCACATGTGCATTTGACTACATGTTAGCTGAGCTGAAGGAGGCGGTGCGGACGTGGCCCCACTCTGACCCGGTCAGCTGGGCTCAGAGGACAGCGGCCGTGGAGCTGGTCAAGCATCTGGACAGCAGCTTTGACAACGCGGTTGCCGCTCTGCGCCACAACGATCCCAAGTACTACCAAGGTAGCATCGCTATTTATTTATTTATTTTTTGTGACAAAATGGCATCTTTACGTTTTTGAAATGCCTTTTTCGGGTTATGTTACAGTTTGTTGTCCTGTTCAAAAATAATGAAAAATAAATCAGGGCACAATGGGTAAGCGAAAGTGAAAATAATGTGCTCCACAGGTTGTAAGTAGATTGTCAAAGTGCGGCTCCCTCTAGTGGTAGGCCAAAGAATCACTGAATTAAAGGTTGAAACACTGTGTAATGTTCCAGTGATATTATTTAGTCCAGTACAATCCATTTAATTCATTCAATGCCAAGGAAATTACAAAAAATATACATATATGCGGTGCATAGTAAGTGAGTCATTATTTAAGCGCAATTGTTTTTCCTATACAGTATTTAAGGAGTGTTAGTGTTCAAAGTGTGGCTAATGTTGTGTCTTACAATAATATCAAATCAACTTTTTCAGCGCAAAACCTGCTCCTCATTTTGATGAACACGTAGCCCCACTACACAACTGTATTTGAACGTCGGTAGTACATGGACATCGAAATCTTTTGTGAAGTGGTATTTGGTGTAAAACATTGGAAGATAAGATCAAACCAGTTTCACTAAAGCTGCTCCAGGTGAGGCTCGAACTCACATCCTCAGCATGGCTCTACGGGTTACTGTCTTATAAGTACCGCGCGCTAACCGATTGCGCCACTGGAGCTTGGGTGCCACATGTTGTTCTTTGGGCCTGAAGGTTACGGTCAGGTTCAAACGCAGAAGGACCAAGTCAAGCACAGGTTCAGTCTGTTGTGGTTTTTGCCCCGAGATCATTTGAAACTTACATCTGCACGCTTTGTCGTCCTGCAGAGTTCGAGCCGCTTCTGTCATGGAAGTTCTGGCAGGTTCGGCGGGAGCGCAGCAGCACCGACGCCAGCCTGGTGTACGCCGCCACCACCGCCAGCGAGTGCTACGATGAGCAGCTCAGCGACAAGTGTCTCACGCTACTGCTCGGAACCTGGTGGGGACTGGCCACTTTCATATTGTGTGTACTCAAGTGCAAGGACAAGTACTTGAGTAAAAACAAAAAGTAATGATTCAACTTCTGTAGTGAAGTTAAAGTACAGACTGAAATGTTTTATGAAAAACTTTAAACTGTTCATCTTATTCCTACGGCAAATTTGTTCTCAAAATGTAAAAAAAATGTGGATTTTTTTTTACTCCTCTAACTTCTACATTTTTGGAGCGATTTGAACTGGTCTAACTTGAAACTTTTGAGCTTAACCCTTCTGCAAATATTTTTGAAAATTTCAAGATCAAACACAACATTTAAGATTGTCTTGTTTTTCCTCTTCTGATTCCTATATTTTTTTTTGACTGGTTCAAACCAATTCAACTTTAAACTATTCAGGTTATCCCAACCACAATTTTTTTAAATTTCAAAATAAAAGCCAAATATTGCATTTTTTTTAATGCTCTAATTTCTACACTTTTTGACCAATTCAAATCATTCCAACTATTAACTGTTCATCTTATTGCTACCCCCACCCCCAGATTTCATAATAAAGCAAACATTTTTTTGAAGGATAACATAAGATAGGAAAACCTTTATTTGTCTCACAATGGAGAAATTCAAACCATTCCAACTTTAAACTGCTCGGCTTGTCCCTTCGGCAAATGTTTCTTTGAACTAAGTGAAATATTAAGATTTTTTTAACCGATGCATGATCAAAAAATTACAAATTGATTCATATAAATTACAAAACTATACTTACAATTTTTCCCCCCGCACTGTAGGAAACAGAAGGGAACGCCGTGCATCGTGACCAAGCCGTGCCGCGACACCATGACCCAATTCGGTTGTCCGCACTACTCGCTGTCCCACCAGCTGCTCTACTTCATCATCGGGAAATTGGTGAGGAAAACAATGGGGCCCGTCGCCTCGCCGTCGAGGGCCTAAAGTGTCGTTTGTATGTGTCAGAAAGGGTGTTCCAACCTGCTGAAGGGTGACACGCGAGCGTCCCGTGCCAACATGACCGAGCGCAGCTACCAGAAGATCTTCTGCTCCAACATGATGAAGACCAACCAGGATATCATCGCCGACGGGCTCAGCCAGCAGACAGCCGACATCTTCATCGAGAACAGTTAGTAGAAAATCCTCACAGTGAAAAAATGGGACAAAAACAGCTCTTGGTCAGTCAATGAATCGATCAGAGGTTGGACGCGATGGCCCTATTTGGTCGAGTTCAGGGGTGCCCAAATCGGGTCCTTTAAGAGCCCCTACACGGCCTGTTTTCGGTGTCTCCCCCTTCCGACAAACCTGATTCAAATGATCATCATGACCATGAAATCAGTTTTTCTTGTAATGTTTTGAGGTTTTTTTTCCTCCAAATAAGTAAATATACTTATTTAGCTCTGAATCAGAAGCGAATCTCATAGGGCTTCACAGGCCCACAGTTGACAAATATGAACGTCCCCTGATCTAAGGCCCCAACCGCCCCGCAACGATGTCCTCTTTGAATTTTTCACTTTATACCTCTTAAAATAAAAACATCATTGTTAAAACCTTTCTTGAAAGAAGAAAATAGCAAAAGAGAATTCTTGTTAAAGTAAAAATTTTTTAGCTTATAAAATTATCCTTATTCTCTGAAAAAAAACATTTGTAGAAAATTAATTTTAGGGGAAAATTGACAATTCATTTCCAGAAAAAAATATTCAAAAAGCAAGTTTTTCCAAAAATATTAGCACTTTTCATGATTTTTTTTATAATGTGGCCCTGATACTCTTAACGGCACTTGCCCTCAATTCATTCTGAAATGGGCCGGCCGGTGGTCGACTGGTTAGCGCGTCGGCCTCACAGTGCAGAGGTTCACGGTTTGATTCCTGCCTTCCTGTGTGGAGTTTGCATGTTCTCCCTGGACCTCCGTGGCTTTTCTCCGGGTACTCCGGTTTCCTCCCACATTCCAAAAACATGCGTGGCAGGTTGATGGAACACTCTATAAATTGTCCCTGCGAGTGTGAGCGCTGTTGTTTATTCGTCTATGTGTGCCCTGCGATTGGCTGTCTACCAGTCCAGGGTGTACCTTGCCTACTTCCCGAAGACGGCTGGGAAAGGCTCCAGCACGGCCGCAACCCTCGCGAGGATAAGCCGATTTAGAAAATGGATGGATAATTCTGAAATCCAGACCCATCACAGGCAGTTTCACTTCTGGAAGAATGAGCCCATCACAGTTTGGGGATGAACAGAAGTAGGCTCGACAACAACCAACCGCAAACCTCCCGTGTTTGCTAGTGTGTGTGTGTGTGTGTGTCGTAGTCCTCATCTGCGGATTGGCTGGCTTCTCCGACTTCTACAAAGCCGATTGGCTGCAGCACATCCTTCGGCTGCAGGACGTCGAGCTCGGCTGCTTCGGGCGTGACCGTAAGTCTGGAACCGATTGTGTGCCTCATCGAATGGCGACTGCTGAAAGTGTGGCGAGTCTTTACGTACGTGAACGTGAGCTGTTTTTTCGCTGTCGCCGTCAGGCAGCATCATCTCGCAGTGGATCGGAGACGAGCTGCTGGAGCAACTGCAGCCTCATCACCGCGTCAAGAGGAGGGAGAAGATCCTTCCCGGTGGGTTCACACCTCATGGTGGGCAATTGTGAAGTCACTGGCAGAGAAATTGTTAGCATCGGGTCCCATGCGGGTGGGCGGTACCGTCCTGGTCAAACCACACAAAACTGTTTTTGACTGTCAGTAAAATTGTATTTATTATAAAAACAACAACTGATCTGGCGTTGTTGCTAATCAGGTTTGCCATTTCCAAGTATGACTGTAAAAAATAAAATAAAAAGAATAAAATAGCAAGGAACCCAAACAGTATTGGTACCAACCAGGTCAGTGAGAAAAAGAGAAATCTAAAACCAGTAAGTAAAAATGAAAAAAAAACAAAACAGAAGCAATCAAGGTCCAAGAACCAGTCTTGATTCAGTCCAAGAACAGATGAGAACTATATCAGAAAAAAAGCAGTGAACAATCAGTCAATAACAAGGTGATAAACAAAAATAAACAACAAAAAAACAGTCAAATCCCAAATTAACAATCAGTCCTGCACGAGTCAAAAAGAGACGAGAACCAGGAACAAGTCGACAGTCAACAAACAGGCCAACTCGTTTTGAATTTGGTCTTGACTTGTACCCGTTCTTGACTTGGTTTTTGCTTTTCAGTGTAGTTCTTGGTTCTTGACTGGTTCTGGATTTGGGTGATGACTCATTCTTCACTTGTACTTCATTGTTTTTTGACGTGGCTCCTGACTTGATTCTTGATCGGTTTTAAACATGGTTGGATTATTATTATTGATATTATTTACTATTATTATATATATATTTTTCCATTGTTCATAATTTGTTTTTTGACAAAGATCTTGACTGGTTTTTGATGTTAGTCTTGTTTTTTTTTTTTTGTGACATAGTTCTTGACTCGTTCTTAACTTGTTCTGGAGTGTTTTTGACATAATTTTGACGATTTTCTGACTGATTCTTGACAGTTTGGGTTTTTTTTTTAACTGGTTCTTAACTTGGCGTTTGACTATTTTCCGACATCATTCCTGACTTGCTCACGATTTATTTTGTCCACGCAAATCTAGACATTTGTCGTCACACATTGCATCCCAATTGCGTCTTTCTTGTCTCAAGATGGCTGCTCCAGTCACATGACAGCGGTGGCGGTTGGCGCCCTGGGAGGATATTTAAACTTCTACCTGACGGAGCAGGACATAACCAAGAGGCCCCTTTCCTGATCGCCTGATCCCACGGCACGCCTGAAACGGAAACTTTCTTCCTGCTCGCCTGCTTTTTCTCTTCGGGAAATCTCAGACTGTAAATCCATTAGGACGGCAACAAATAATACATTTAAGGTTGAGAAAGTCCCTCAGTGTCACGTAGAACTCCACGAAGGCCCCTTTTCATCGATACCTTTTTACCCTTTGTGTTCTTTGTGGACTGTCCTGCTCACAGACAAAAAAAAAAGTGATATAAATAACATCTAGTTAGATGAACTGAGACAAAGCTGCCTGTATTATTTCCATGTCAATTATTATGTATCGTATGTGAAGCATTATACCGTATATTGTAAGTATTTAAGGCTTTTTTTGTGCATGAAGCAACAGTGTGTGTCGAACGAAACATCCCACATAAAAGGTCCACTTCAAGAGTGTCCGGTGTCGTCTTTGGTTGTGTCACGGTTACTCGTTCCAGCTGGTGACTTTGTAAAAGAGGGCCTTGAGTAGCCGAGCCTCGTAGGTGACCGTGTTCTTGCCCATTTGGACTCGAGACTCCTCCAGCGGCTGCTCGATGATGGCGGGCACCTCCCTTCCGTACTCTGACAGCACAAAAAATAAATAAATAAAAATTTGAATTGGTCAGAAGAGGGTTACGTTTGACATTTTGATGGTGAGTGATTAATAAAAAAAAAAAGTTTGACTTTTGATGCCGTTTTATAGCATCTTGCTGATAAGGGTGTCACGGTGACTGGTTCTTGACTTTGATTTTTGACTTGGATCTTGATTTACTTTGCACGGATTCTTGGCTTGGTTTCTGACACATTTCTTGACTCTTTCCAGACCGGTTCTTGATATGTTATTCGACTTAAATTGATAGTTGTAATGCTTTGATGCAGAAAGACCGTGTGTGTGTGTGTGTGTGTGTGTGTGTGTGTGTGTGTGTGTGTGTGTGTGTGTGTGTGTGTGTGTGTGTGTGTGTGCGCCTTGGAACATCACCTTCACAGTTCTCCAAGAACTGAATGCACTCCTGGACCATCACCCCCTTCAGTGTGATGATGTGCTTGGACATGTTCTCCAGCAGAGACAGGAAGCAGCGCTTGGCGTAGAACCACGTGTCCGTCCCCAACTTCATAACACACACACACACACGCACACACACACACACACGCACGCACGCACGCACGCACGCACGCACGCACGCACGCACGGTATGAGATTCAACAAACAAAGTTAGCCTGAAGCTGTTCATCAACAGCAATTACCTTCTTGTTGTAAGGCTCCAAGCTCTTGATAACGCGAGAGATACCAAAATCGTAGTTGCCTTTGGTGCAGTACAATGTGCTGAAGACAAAAAAATAAAAAAAATCAATCCATGTACGTCCACAAAAATATCTTTTTTTTCTGGATTATTGAGAAGTGTAGAAGTTACCCGATGACCAGGTTGACGATGCACAAGTGAAAGACTTTCTTGTCGGGGTCGTCGTAGGAGATTTGCTCCTCCTCCTTCTCGATCTTCCTCATCAGCTCCTCAGCCTGGAAGACATTTTTAGTCACACTATCCAGACTTTTTTTTTTTTTTTTTCCATAGGCAAACCGCTACTTGAGTTACCTCTTCATTCTGGCTGGTGATGATGTAGGACACGCACAAGTTGGCCAGGACCACAGCGCTCACGTTCAAGATCTACAGCAACACGACATAGCAATGACTGCAGAACATTTTGACTTTCAAACCACATTTTAGACATCACAGATCCCTTCTTGATAAGTTAAAGATGTTTGCATTATGCTTTTCATCTCTTAATGAAATCATCAAACATGAATCTCCAATTTACACCACAAAAGCTCTGAACTTTTCACAAAGATTTTTTTGCAACATGTTCATCATAACAAACTGCCTCAATGTTGTCAATTCAAAGAGTCAATGGAGATACGCAACGACTCATTTGCTCATTTCGAGCATTTGTTTACAAAGCAGCACTGCAAAGAAAAGCACACCCAAAAAGAAAAGTTTCACGCATAGAAAAAAAAAAAACATCACAGCAAAGTTGCTTTTCTCTATTTTTACCGGCGGTTTGAATATGCACGAGCACTCCTGCACGCTACACTGTTCCACCTGCGCACAAAGGTCAACCGTCAACTGAGCTCATCCTGCTTTTTAATCACAAGCTTCGCTCTCCCCCGGCGGCGCCACTCACGTTGTTGTAGTGCTTCTTGACGATGGGCTCGTAGAAGCTGATGGCCTCCTTGTACTTGTTCTGCATGAAGAGCACGTGGGCCACGTTCAGCCTCCACGTGTCGTCCTCGTTGCACACCTCCATGGACTTGTGGAAGATCTTCTCCACCATGGCAAAGTTCTCGCGGTTCCAGTAGATTTTGGCTTGGGCCATCAGGACCACGATATACCTGTGCGCAAGAACAACATGACAAGGTTGGGAGGTTGGGACCGACGCGTTTGGGGCGCCGTCTTCCGCATGCAACGTGGACGTTGGTATGAGTGATAATTGATGAATGGCACAATAGAAATCAGCAATTCGATACAATCCACAGTCACATGTGTGTTTTTTTTGTGTGTGTCGTGCGTGTTCTCACTTCTCCTGCATGGTGTCATACTCCTGGAGGGCTTTCTTCTGCCCGTCGTCGTCTCGAGCCGTCTTGGCCTCCTGCAGCTGCAGACATTCAGCAAACACATCGAACTCAGTCTCATATACACACACACACACATATAATGTGTAATGTAATTTAAAATTCGAATCCAAAATGTACCGTATTGGCCCGAATATAAGACGGCCCTGATTATAAGACGAGTCCCTCTTTTTCAAGACTCAAGTTTGAAAAAAGACTTTTTGAACACCAAATTAATTTTTATACATAAAATAATTACAGTACATCTGAAACAAATGATTATAACAATATATTTGAGAGAAATAGCATGTTATTTTGCCTCATTCAAATCTAAAGTTCAATCACATTCGTAAATGAATGGCTTCTGGTTTTTGAAATATAAATTACATCATAACTTCTCCTCAGCTGCCGGTTAACCTGGCCGATCTTCGACCCACTTTTCTCCAGATTGTCGCTACGTTTCTCCATTTTCTGTTATCTCTTCTATTATTTTCTCCTCTTTTCCTTCTTACCGCTATTTTTTATTTTTCTTCTTCGTGCTACCGCTATTTTTATTTTTATTCTTCGTGGCAGGGGTTCATTTTGGCCTGGGGAGTCAAGTTCAGCATTTGCTTCGTTGATATCTGGCGCCATCTAGCGTCGTGAATGGGTATAATGTCTAGACCCCGAATATAAGACGACCCCCACTTTTTCAGTCTTATTTCAATGCAAAAAACACCGTCTTATATTCGGGCCAATACGGTATTCCATGTACAGTATACAGTTCCACACGCATGAAGAAAACATTGATTTAAATAAATTAAAGAGGCAAGCAAGAAGACGATTTTCCGTCTTCACCGGGAGACGAACATGATGCAGACTCCGGCCTTGAGACGGTTAACGTTTGAGCTTTTGAAATGTCGCCCTGACATTTTTTTGTAATTGTTATGTTAGTTAAGACATCGGGGACGGTGAATATGAAGCCCGACTAAGTATGAGAGTCATTATTGGACTGCATGCATGCACGTTGGCCCTTCTGATTCAGAAAAATGGTCACCCCCGTTTTTCGCCGACAACAGTAATAAAGACAAAACAGAGGTGGGGAAGGTGTCCTAATGGGGGATGATGGAAAAATAATAATAATTGAAAAAAAAAAGTAGGTAGGCAACCTGCTTGGCCAGCTTGCGCAGCTTCTCAGTCATTTTGCCGATCATGTCGTCAAATTTTCTGAAGGCCTAAACGCACATAAACACAGATACGTGTTTTCATGATGAAACAAGATCAAGAACGACAAAACCTGCCTGTTATCGTACCTCCTCGGGTGCTGTCTGGCACGTCAGCAATGCGTCGAGAAACTCATACTCGTACTGAAAAACAAGCAAAAGCACACTTAAGTTCTGGTCCACGACAAAAAGAACACAAGAGGACATAAGAAAAAAAATACACTAGATCTCACCGGAGAGAGCAATTTGTAGGTGAGGTGTGCGTTTTCGGCCAGGACGTCGGCTGCCAGATCAAAATACTGCCAAGAAACGAGAGCCAAATTGTATCCGTCTGTATTTGGAAAACACGACCCATGTGGCATGGCGTGGCAGGTGACACCTCATGTTTGCAGTAGAGCAGAAGCAGGTTGCCAAAAGTGACGGGCGGGAAGGACGGCTGCTGAAGCAGGAAGGCCAACTTCTCAAAGCCCTGAGATGGCTTGCTGTCCATATTGAGCAGGGCCTGGTTGTGCAGCGTCACCGTGTCCAGCTCCTGCGTGGAACATCATTACAACGCAGACATTTACATTTTCATTTCTGTGGTCATTTGTCTTAAGACTTCTGCAAAATACGCATCATGGCGCGCTCATATTTAAGCCAACTGAACTCGGGGAACACTTGTGTGCATTTGTGGTGTGGAGGGTGCTGATTATCATTAACAACTGATGAGAGGAGTGATTACAAGGCGCTTATAAATAAAATGTCTCATTATTATTATTACGCTCATTGTACGGCATGTACAGTCAATGTGGCACCTTGGGCAAGATTCTTGTATGGCGCCCCCTCTGGCAGTTTATTAAAATACACTTTATAATTTAAAAAAAAGCCATCTATCCATTTTCTACTGCTTATCCGGGGTCGGGTCGTGGGCGCAGCAACTTTAGCAGGGAAGCTCAGACTTCCCTCTCCCCAGCCACTTCTTCCCGGGGAATCCCGAGGCGTTCCCAGGCCAGCTAGGTAACAAAGTCTCTCCAGCGTGTCCTGGGTCATCCCGGGGGCCTTCTGCTGGTGGGACATGCCCGGAACACCTCACCAGGGAGGCGTCCAGGAGGCATCCTAATCAGATGCCCAAGCCACCTCATCTGGCTCCTCTCGACGTGAAGGAGAAACGGCTCGCATCTGAGCCCTTTCCGGATGACCGAGCTTCTCACCTTATCTCTAAGGGAGAGCCCGGACACCCTGCGGAGAAAACTCATTTCGGCCGCTTGTATCCGGGATCTCGTTCTTTCGGTCACGACCCAATTAAAAAAAAAATGTTAACCATAAATCACTAAGAAAAGACGATCAGAATTTTGCAATCAACATAATTAAGTGTTGTGATTGAATACTGCATGTGTGCACCAACCATGTGCACTCTTAAAATGTATTATCTGTGTTTTATGGAGTGGTCGTGTTTTTTTTTTGTTTTTTTTTTACAGTCATCAACAATTGTGTTAAAGTTATTGTATGACACATTATGAGTAGAATTTACATTTTTGCAGTCAGCATGGATTTTGTCACAAATGCCACTAGATGGAGAATCAAGGCAGGGGACAGTGATGGCAGGCACCCATGTAAATACACACATGGACACACATTCGGTTACCTCCTCTGTTCTCGGCGGCATGTCCGTCAAAGCATCCTGAGCTCCTTTCACTGCAAATGAATATTAAAAAAAAAAAAATCAATCCATCAGATCTATCGAGAAGTGAAAGGCTATTGTGCGCGCAAGATGGCTTCCATCTGTCAATCAAAGCTTCATCCATGTGTGTGGATGTGATTGATGTCGTGTCGTCTGATGCTCGCGGGTGTCTTACGGTTTTTCAGCTGGTACTCGATGGCAGCCTTGAGGTTGAAGGCCTCCACCAGGGCAGTCTGATGCAGCACCAGCGTGTTGCCCACGCTGCGCACGTCAATGCCCTCCGTTGTCAGGCCCACGCTCAGCTCTGCCGCATGGTGGAGGTGAATGCACAAAAAAAGGTTATCATCTCGACAGCAAACAATGGCTCGTAAACCGCAGTTTTTGAGAACCACCGCCACAAACTATGACCCAAAAAAATATATATATATACACAATTCACAACCAACCATGATCTTTCATTGAACGGCATGGTCATAATAATGATACATTGATGGGGTTTCACTATTTAACTAGGCCATAGCCTTATGGCCCTTTGATAAAGGTTTGACGCCGCTGCTCTTGTCAGATACGTAGTTGGAGGCAGGCTTGGTTACCTGGATGCTCTCGGATGCCTCGCTCAATGATTTCCCCGATGTATTTGAGGGCCTGTGCGTAGTTGCAGAGTCTGTAGTAGCAGAGAGCGATGTTGTATGACAGCGCTAGCACAAAGAACAACAAAAAAAAAAAAAGATCAAAAACTTTTTTTGGTGGGGTGGGGGGGGGGGGGTTACTAGTGACTTATGATCTGAGGGTTTTTGTCTGCTTACCAGGCACGTCTCCCAGCACCTGCATTGCTGATGTGAACTTCTTGCAGGCATCCTCATATTTGGCATCCTGGTAGAGCAAGCAGCCCATGTTGTGCACGTAGTCTGTGTCCTCTGGGGGAAGCTGCTCCACCAGGCACTGCACACACAGCAATAATATCTTATCAGTTAGAAATATGATCGGACAGCAGTAATAAACTTTCAGTAAGGTTCAGGTTACCTTGGCAGCAGAGTGATTCTCCTCAAAGTATTTGATGGAGGCTTGCAGTTTGATCATCTGTGGAGAAGGAGGAAGACTGACAATTTGGAAAAAAAAAACTGAAATGTCAGCTGTGCTGCTTTTCTTTTTCTATTTTATGTATTCACGGAACAGCACGTTTATCATTGTGAGGGCTATCAAGGAAGTGAGCGTACCTTGGTGTGGCTGCTAGGCGTGTCCAGGGCGAAGGAGGCCTTGGTGGCCTCGGCGTAGGCGCCCGCCTTGTACAGGCTCTGGGCGTAATACACCCGGTAGTCCTCCACCTCGGGGTGCAGCTGTGTAAGCTGTTCGTAGCACTCGGCTGCGCCGCTGAAGTCCTGGACATGGTAGTAGCAGAAGCCAAGAAGGGACAGCGCTGCCCGGGACTGCGGGGGAAAAAAAACAATAACCACACAGAAACAATTTTTAGAACTCTGAGCATTATCAAACCAATTTTCAAAACCACTTGTCTTCATTAGTGTTGGATGAGCCACAGCCTATCCCAGAAGACTTTGTGGCCGGAGAGAGGGTACACACTCGATAGGAAATCTAAAACACAATGAATGAACCTAACCTGCATGTTTTGGGAATGCAAGGAAGTCGATATAACTGGCGTAAACCCACGCAAGCACCGAGAGAAAAGAGGCAAGCTACCAGGTTTCAAGCCCAAATCTTAGAGGTTTGAAGTAGATGTGCCAACGATGAGCCCACAATAGATTTTTATTTTACGTTAAATTTTTTTAGTCTAACACCCAAGACTTTCATTGGAGTGTGAGACGTCCACTTACCCGAGTGTGCTTTTGAAGTTGGCTGTTGAGGATGTGAATGGCCTCAACATACTGGCTGTCCTTAATCTGCAAAACAAATCAATTCGAGGCTACACATATGGTTATCATTTTATTATTAACCGACATATCGGTATTGCGCTGACCGACAAATTTCACTTTGTGCATAAAACTGGTCTCTTCTTCGTGTGTTCGTGAGCAAGGTTAATAGCTTATCGCCGGTTACATACAACATCATTCATTTCAATGTTCAGGAGTGAAGATAAGCGGTTCGAAAATGGATGGATAGTTTGAACTAATGGATTGATGTCAAGCTTTCGGGCTAACCTGACTACTCCGTCACATAAGCTTCGTGTTCTTACCAGTTTATAGATTGTAGCAGTATACTCCCCGTCTTTTATCGTCATCATGATGCCAAAGTGGTAGTTTTCACGGCTTCAAATGAGCCCAAAGCGGCTAAATTCACGAAAAACAAACAGCGCTAGCTAGCCAGTTAGCTCGTTAGCAGCGGCGTTAGCAAGCGGACTTGTGTTACCTAGCAACCTCCCAGACCGGAAGTCACAGTTTAAACGGACATTTATGACAACCAATCATCTTTTAGGATGCTGCAACTGCTGTTTAAGATCAAGTATCAAGTACAACTTTATTGTCAAATGTGCTGCATGTGTAACATATAGCACAGATGAAATTTCCTCCCTCTTAAACAGACAACAGACAACAAGAGGAGCCGTTGCGGGTGCCCGTATCTTCTCTTTACTTGGTCCCTGATAATGTAGTAGTGCACTCCTCCGATTTGTGTAATGTAAAATCGTGTGGATGTAGGTGTGAGTGGTTGTTCGTCTCTACATGTGCCCCACGACGGGCTGGCGACCAGTTCATGGTGGTCTTCCTTCCACCTGAAGTCACCCGGGATAGGCTCCTGTTTGAGAACCTGTGAAAATAGATGGATGGATCTTCTCTAATTGCCTCTTATCACATACCGGTGCTGTTTTAACAGAACCTTTTTCAACGTATTTGCACTTATATCTACCATGCTTATAAAACACACACACACACACACACACACACACACACACACACACACACACAAAGAGGAATCATGTTTTTTTTTCCATTTTCGTCATTTTCTGAAGGATGTCCAAGAAAAACAAAAAAAAGCAAGCCAGAGGGGCTGTAGCTGCACCTCTATGCCAAACCACACTGTCGGCCTAAAAAAATGGTGTCTGGAACTTGACTGCATTGTGTGTGTGTGTGTGTGTGTGTGGGAGAGTGTGCTTTTGACATTAAGTCTGCAGAAGGGTGTGTTCTTGTTTTCTTTCACTGAGCACTGCCCGGTGTTAAACGAGTCGAGAAGCAGACGACAAACGGTCCTCAGGTGACACGCTTGTGCAGCAGGTATGTGCACACACACATACATTTATTAGTTATTAGTTACAGTAGTTGGTTGGTTACTATTTATTTCGTAGCAGAAATTTAACTTGATGATTGTATGGGTACATTTTGTACTTGTATGCTGGGATCGTGTAGAGTACAGCATGCGCCATTCATTTGGTGGTCTCAAAATAATAGCTATTGCTTTTAAACAAATCAAGCATTTGTTATCTTTTAACGCTCATTCAAAACTTGAAAGTCAAGATTGCTGAAATGTTTTCAAATGGTGTCATTAGTATCAAATGCCTTCAACAAAAGTATGGAACCTTCAGTATTCTCGGCCAGCTGGACTTGGCAGACAGCAGGTGTGATTTAGACGTTCAAGGGTGAAATGAAACATATGTGAGATGAAATCGTCTGAGACTTTTTAGTCAAGCATGAATTCATCATTCAGAATGAAATTTAAAAGTCTAACCTGAAAGAAAAAAAAACGGTTGAAACGCGAACAGAGCTCAAGTTGATGAGCTGATCATTTGAATCGGGTGTGCTGGAGGAGGGAAAAAACTAAAACATGCAGGGTAGCGGATTTAGCAGGATTTAGTCCAGCTTTGAGAAGGAAAGTATGTGACGTGTACATGTTGCTGCATCCAGCAGATGGTGTCCTCACAGAGTGTTTGTGCAGGTTGTGGTGCTGATGATGTCCCAAAAGGCGAGCTTGGCAGTGGTGGTGTTGCTGGCCGTCGCCGCGGCAACCGTGACGGCACAGAGGCGGCGCGCGCAGACGGCCAATGCGGATGAGTGGAACTACCGGGATGGCTGTGAGCACACAGATTTGCCTCTCTTCTGTTTACTCCACATCAGAGTGATGATGGGGGCAAAGGCAGAGGTGACGACAAACATTGACGGCACATTGAACGGGAACGCTTGAAAACAAACTAAACAAAAGAGTACAAAAGATACAGAAGTCAATGTGAGCATTGTATATATGAATCCCAAAACATAAGCAGTTGAGAGTCAAATAAATAGCAGCCGGTGAGTGACATCAAAATATAAACGAGGAATATACTATTGGCTACTCGATTGCACACACAGAAAGTCGCAGTCATCAACTGTACATGAATCGATAAAGATATTGCGTACAGGCTATGGAGAGTGATATGGGTTGCACGTGTCCATGCTAATGCTAATGTAGTTTCATGTTGTGATCTATTCTCACCGCTCGACCGTCTGGTCCCAGCCGACAGGGTCAGCATGAGGGGCGTGGCCAACCTGACGCAGATCCTGGACAACTGGCGCTTTGACATTCTCAACCAGATGAAGGGACTCCTGCAAAACGACCACCAGTCCCTGTTGCCTGATTACGCCAGGTATCAGCTCAACTCGACCCAACAATATTTGAGTACAACAGCTCACACAGTACAGGGGAATGTTGCTTACCAGCCAAAGAGTCCCCGCAGGAATGCATTCCTTCCTCGGGCTTGGAAATATACATGGAGGGAGCGCAGAGTGCAATTTGGAGTTTGAAAATATGGAACAAATAAAAGAACATCTGGTGTTTCCTGCTTCTCACCACAGTTTGGATTGGAGGGCGGGATGTTATGACACTCCAGTAGTTAAAATGACAGGCTATTGCTTCCTTTTTCATGCTTTTATTCACCCAAATTGCTGCTTCACCTTTTTTTCCTCTTGCCCTCACATAAAGCACAAATTTCAATTGGGTTGTCTTTCCAAACAAAATGAACCGTTGAGACCGATCCTATTGGGAAGGCAGCTGGTTAGCAGCTAGCGCGAGACGCCAACATAGCAGGCAACATTGTGTCAAACATAACGAGTGCCCAAATCCCATTCAAATTCCTTTGTTCACAAAAAGTGTTATTAACCCAACCTCTGTCAGAAACCAACCAAAATAAATGTAGAGTACTCAGCTGAAATCTAGTGAACATGTCCCGCGAGCTAACTTCTAGTAGCAGTAAGCAGAGAGTAGAAACCTAGCAAAATAAATATAGCTCGTAGTAATAGTTAGTAGTAATCCTCATGTTTCCCCGTAAAATTGAACAATAGTACATAGATTGTTACCAATATAATCCACATGACTCACTGGCCACAAAATATCAAAAATCAAAGTCCTTTTACTCACAAAAGTTGATTCATACCAACTCCAGCAAGCTAACGGCTAACTGCGCTAAACCTAACTTAACAGGGTAAACGCTTGCGCTCAGTCATCCACTGACTGCATGCTCACACAAGATCTGACTCAAAAGTCCTTTGTTTCCAAAATTTTGACATGTTAGGATCCAGCCTCTGTCCGAGGCCTTGGGTGATCTCTACAAGGAGTTCAACGCACTCAAAGCTCACCTGGGCGAGCTGACGGAGAAGTTCACTGCAATGGAGACCTTCATGGATGAGGTGAAGGCCAGCAGGGGAAGTGGCCAGGCCCAGACACAGGCCCGGGACCAGGCCTCATCAGTCCCTGTGCCGAGGCAGACCGGCAGGCGGGTGATGAAGAAGAAGATCACCCCTGCGGCCACCACGTCCTAAGGATGACCATGATCATGTTTTCACGCTTGCTCTGCTTTTTATGCAATAATCTCGTAGAAAACAAAACTGAGATTTTTGATCTTGGCGTGTCAAAAAGTGTATTTTTTCCTGCTACAAATGAGCGATGAGAAGCTAAAGCTATCGAGTAACCAGGGAGGATTTTGTCCACTTCTGGAAACATTTGAGTCAGTACACTTTGAGGGATTTGGTTTTGCCGCTGGAGCTCAGCCCAACACACTGAAGCGCATCCAAGTCAGATTGTTGGGATGTGCTTGGCTCCGCTTTGCGTTTTGTTTGCTGCTGCATCACGCACACATGCGCTCGATTTAACAAATAAACTCAATATTTGCATCAACATGACAATGTTGCTTCATTAAAAACAGGATTGATTTGATAAGACTGACTGGTTACCGTCTGAAGCTGAAGCACTGAGATGGTCCTGCATTTAATGACTGCCCAGTGACTGGTGCTTGGTCAAATGATGGACACAGACGATGACCAGTGATTAGCGTTGCGTTACTGTGCATGCTGACTGTAGCTACGTGTCCTCTGTGGACCCTCGCTGGTCATCTCCTGCACGGAGTGAGATTGAGAGCAAGTGCAGATTACATACTGTTACAGTGAGTTGCTAGTGTCAATAGGATTACTCATGTTTTCCCCCAAGACTCTGATGTCACACCAAGTGAGTCACAGCTCACAAAACCAAAAATAGCTTTGAACATTTTTGGTAGGGGTTGGCTAAAACTATTGGCATCTTGCAAGGATATGAAAAGTAAAAAAAAAAAAGAAGCAAAGTCTTGACTTGGTCTCAAGTCCTCAAAATCTTTATTGTCCCGATCTCAATTTCTTTAAGTATTGCATCATGACTTGGTCCTCAGGGTCTTCAGTCTTCATTCTGGCATGGTCTCAAGTCCTTAAAATCTTGATCCCGATCAAGTCCACAGAGTCTTGATCTTGACTTGGTTTCAAAATCCTGGTCAAGACCAAGACTTTGAGGACTTGAGACATAATAGAGACCAATACTTTAAAACCTTGCCATCATGTTGTGGATTTAAGGCCAAGCCAAAACCAAAAATGTTATGATTTATTAAGATCAAAATTTCAAGGATGTGAGACCAAGTCAACACCAAATTTTGTGAACCAAGGCTTTGAGGACTTGAGATCAAGCAGAGAAAAATACTTTCAGGACGTGAGACTAAGTTAAAGCCATGACTTTGACGACTTGAAACAAGACCAAGATGTTTCGGACTTGGACCAACTCACTACCAAAACCCAGACTTTGAAGTTGGAAAGCCATAGCCAAGATTTGACCCTTAGCTTTAGAATATTGAGGCTGATGTGCTAACCACGAGCGCACCGTGTTGCCTGTTTTCCTAGTCATTTAGAATTAAAAACCCACTCGCATTTCACACATTTTAGTGTCACGAGGTCATGGGATCAATAATGAATTTCATGCCTTGTGGCGTCAGCGCCACGCCCAATCGCTGCTCACAAAATATCTCCTCATGGTCTTCCTTTTATGTTCTGGGCCGTCACCAAGATTTGGGACTTCACGTCTCATCTGCCAGTGCCAGTGCAAAGGACGACTGGGGCACAAGGTGCCATGGACTCTTTAAGGACCAGGACACAGGGAAAAATATGATTCATTCTTAATAAAAGAATACAGTGAACCTTGTTTAACGCCTCATCTGCCAGTGCCAGTGCAAAGGACGATTGGGGCACAAGGCGCCATGGACTCTTTAAGGACCAGGACACAGAACAGTTGGGGAAAAATATGATTCGTTCTTAATAAAAGAATACAGTGAACCTTGTTTAACGCGGGGGATACGTTCTGACTCACTCACAATATAAAGACCATATACATTTTTTTTAAAAATATAGTGGACCTCCTCAGTTACCAGGAGATAGGATCTCTGTCATGATATACATGATGGCAGAGGACCAAAAACAAGCAGGGAGGCAGGAAAAGCAGGGTGCACCGAACAAAATATATTCACACTTACAAAGGCACACCGGAAAAACTAAATCCAAGTCAATTTTTTTTAAAAATATAGTGGACCTCCTCAGTTAGCAGGAGATAGAATCTCTGTCATGATATACATGATGGCAGAGGACCGAACAAAATATATTAACACTTACAAAGGCACACCGGAAAAACTAAATCCAAAACACAAAGTACTGAAAACCCCAATAACTCAAAGCAACAACAAACAAAAACCTATGACAGAAACACACTGATCCGACCACGAATGGTCGCCGTGGCAGTCCTTTTAACAGAAAAGAGCTAATGACAAGACGACCAACAGGTGTGAAATGGGAGGGAAAGCCCTCCGATGTCACCTGCTGGAGACAAAAGGAACAGAGCCATGACAATTTCCAGAACAGCAATGGGTGGCGGCCGAAGGGTGTGCACCGCTGGGACAGGAACAGGTGGCGGCCGCAGGATGTGCACCGTCAGAATAGGAACAGGTGGTAGCCGAAGGGTGTGCGCCGCTGGGAGAGCAACGGGTGGCGGCCGCGGGACATGCGCCACCTGAACGGGGATGGGTGGTGGCCGCAGGACGAGCAGTGTCTGAACGGCGACGGGTGGCGGCCGCAAGACGTGCGCCGTCTGGAAGGGGATGGGTGGTTTCCTCAGGACAATCGTCGCCTGAACATGAACGGGCGGCGGCTTCAGTACGTGCGTCACCTGATCAGGGACGTGTGGTGGCCCCAGTACGTGTGCCATTGGGACAGGAACAGGTGGTGGCCACAGGACGTATGCCACTGGGTCACGGTGGCTATGGGATCAGGGCTTTGGTCCGGTGGGGTCCATTTTTGGTTGGATCATTCTGTCATGGGTGTGCGTGATGTTAGAGGATCCAAAAAGCAGTCGAGGACCCGAAAAAACAGGGAGGCAGGAGAAGCAGGGTGTACTGAACTAAACATATTAATTAAAACACTGACAGTGGCAAAATGGAAAAACTAAATCAATTACACAAACAGTCCTGAAAACCCCAGTTTTCCAAAGTCGCAAACAAACAAAAGCCCAGAACAATGACAGTCTCAGCCTGAAAGCGTACAGCAAAAATGTGCCAAAAATTCACACCCCCTGACACACTTAGAGAGGTTGTCCGTCTTCCAAGGAAATGGATATGGATAATAAAGGAAAATCCATTACAGTCAGATGTCCTTTTTGCCACATTGGAGATCAGATGTGAACCGTCAGGGTCTCCGACTCGCATCACATCTCAGCTAAAAATGAAACACCTCGGTGGATGGTGTTAAACTTGCATATTATTTATGAGGTGAGCACCAGAGGTGGTAGAAGTACTGGATTCGGACTCAGGCTTTTAAGTGAGACTTTCAAGGAAGGCTGAGCCTTTCATAGTAGGATCACAGGCCAAAGCTTAGGGTTTGAAATGAGGGTTTCAAGACTATGCTACAGTTTCAGGGCAGGGTTCGGGTTTCATATGAGGTTTTCAAAGTGTGCTTCTCAATACAAATCTGGGTTTTAAGACCGGGTTTGAGTTTCAAGTACAGTTCTTTTAAGTTTGGGCTTCAAACAAGTGTTTAGGATATCGAGCTAGGCTTTCAATTTTTAAAGTTGGGCTTCCAGTCAAAGTTAGCGTCTCAATTTAGGGATTTTAAGACTTATGGTTTAAAGGGGGTTTTCAGGACTAGGTTAGGGGTTCAAGTCTGATTTTCAAATGAGGGTTTAAAGCAGATGGATTGGGCTACAAATTATGCTTTCAAGCCTGGGTTGGGGTTCAAACAAGGGTGTGGCTTTCAAATTAGGGCTAAGAGCCGAATTTAGGATTTTATATTTGAGTTTCAAGAAAAGATTAGGGTTTCTGAGCCAAATTTAGGATTTTATAATAGGGTTTCAAGAAAAGATTAGGGTTTCAAGTCTGGATTAGAGATTCAATTTGGGGATCTAAGACAAAGTTAAGGTTTCCGAGTAGGGTTTCAAGACAGGATTATGATTTCAAATTAAGGTTTCAAGCCTATATTACAGTTTTAAACTAGGTTTTCAAGCCAGGGTCAGTGATTCAAAATAGGGTTATCGTTGTAAAGTTGGGTATCAAGTCCAATTTTCAAACCGATGGTTAGAGTTTCAAATTAAGCCAAATTAAGGCTTCAAACCAATCTTAGTTAGGCTTTCACGGTAAGGTTCCAAGACAGGATTGGGGTTGCAAGTGGTATCAGGTTTAAAATGAGGGTTTTAAAATAAAATGAGGTTCTATTTGGGCCTAAGGTTTCAAGTTAAGGTTTAACGTCAGGATCATGGCTTCGGGTTAGGGTTTGAAGTCGTGGGTAGGGTTTCAAAATAGTTTCAAGCTTGTGTTCATGTTTGAAAGGAGAATCGCTGAATATTTCTGCATCTCAGAGGACCTTTTTGTCCTTCTGTCAGTTTGTCCTTGCTGTTGACAGACAGCGTGCGACCCATTGGCACCACTGAGGCGTCTGCAAACGCGTCTGTTAAATGTCAGCAGGACAGAGAACATCACCAGCGCCACACTAATGAGTCACCTTTTTTTTTGGTTGGCCTTATCTTCACCTCCTCTTGTCATCTTGTCCTTCGACCATTTTAGTCGCAGCTCGAATGCTGCTTTTTCCCCGCTGCTCTACGACGGGAGCGACTCAGAATGTAAGGCCGTGTGGGACTGGGTCGCTTCGATTCGAGGCGCTGACAGCGAGATGAAGGAAGGATTACGCCACTGCCTGACTCCCGTTGTTTGGCCCACTATAAGACTGCAAAGAACACAAAAAGCATTCAAAGAGTCCAAGGTGATCGTGAACACAAAAAAAGAGCATTCTAGTTGATTGACACACCCACTTGAAGTTTACTCTCAAACTAAACAAAGAGAATTGCACCTTAGGTATTTTAAACAACCACATAGAGTTGCCTAGCTACCGAGTTGTTTGGCCCACTACAAGACTGCAAAGAGCACAAAAAGCATTCAGAGAGTCCAAGGTGATCGTGAACACAAAAAAAAGAGCATTCTAGTTGATTGACACACCCACTTGAAGTTTACTCTCAAACTAAACAAAGAGAATTGCACCTTAGGTATTTTAAACAACCACATAGAGTTGCCTAGCTACCTTCATGCTAACACACAATGCAAACATGTCCATAGCCAGTATAACAACACTCACAAGCATAATCTTTGCTGAGTCATTAATGTAGTAGTGAAATTCTTCTTTTGTGCCTGTTTGCCTATTTTATACTGACCCCTGGTGGCCAAGGTGTGTACAACAGGAGTTGGATATGTGTGACTCAAGCAAGTGTTGGTATACGCGTGGTGCGTTTGTGCAGTCAGAAGGTGACCTCGCCACGGCGTCGGTGTATTTTCGCCGCGATGAGGAGATTGCATCATTTCGGGAACGCTGTTTGCCTATTTTATACTGACCCCCGGTGGCCAAGGTATGTACAACAGAAGGAGTTGGATATGTGTGACTCAAGCAAGTGTTGGTACAGTATACGCGTGGCGCGTTTGTGCAGTCAAAAGGTGACCTCGCCACGGCGTCGGTGTATATTCGCCGCGATGAGGAGATTGCATCATTTCGGGAACGAGTCAGCACGCTTCCATCAGAAGCGTGGCCAGCTGACACTTTGACTCGGCGGGAAAAAATATTGACACGAGGGGACGGCCTTCAGCTTTGGATGAATCACGCAGTCAGCAAAAAATTCTAAAAAAAAAAAAAAAAAAAACAATTTTTTATGTGTCCTGAAGGACA